ACAAAATTAGTTATAGTCCTAAGAGTGTTTTACCTCAAACAGCAAATTTCACTAATCTTGGCTTAAAGCTAGGTACAGTTCATTTTACTCCCATGGAGTTGTAATAAGTAACAAATATTTACCATGAGTCACATACATAATAGATTTCACTTAACATCTTTCTCAAATTTAAACTTGTTCTGGTAAAAAGCCAATTATTAGAAATCATTTCATATAGTTGCAGCTTCTCAGCAAGCTAAATTAATTGTTTAGGAACTGCATAATGCTAACAAGTTCTCTCTCTCTCTCTCTCTCTCTCTCTCTCTCTCTCTCTCTCTCTCTCTCTCTCTCTCTTCTCTCTCTTCTCTATCCTCAGCTCTGCTCTCATTCAGGGCAGATGATTGCCCACAACAGATAGTTTCCAGGAGCCCTGGCAAATTTACAAAGTAGAGAGAATTGCCTTGTGCCCCTCCTTTTCAGTCATAAGTAATTAAAAATTCTAGGTGTTAACATTAAAACAGTAACTTCAAATAACTTAATTAACAATCTGGTAATTTTCATAAATGATAGCCAAATTGTTTTAACTATAAGCTGTTCTTTGATTACAGGTAAATACCTGACTTTTTAATTGACAGTTATAAAACATAATGAGACAAAATTAACTGGACTTGATAAAATAATTTAGCTGGTTTTTACATAGCTTTCCCACTGTCTTTCAGTCTTTTTAAATTCACATTTTAATAACATCTGAATTATTGAAAATTGTTTGACATAGCACAAAACAATACAAAAGTTTACCAATTGGTAACGATACTAGATTTTAAAATTTGAAACAAGCATATTACTAATTTGAACGAGCTATATTATCTTTTGATTGCATTCCAAATACATAAAAAAAACCTTTGTTTTATGAACTGAGGGGGTGTACCCTCATTTTCGCTATTCTCATTCTGTCTCTCACACCCCAACTTGGCCAGGGTTGGAATGTGAGAGAAAAGAAGAGAATATTTTCCAACAACTTATCTTTGACAGTCTTTCAATTTTACGTCCAAAAGCTTTGGCCAGAGCTTTAGAATGCAAAAAAGAAAGAGAATTTCCTCCTGATAACTCTTCAAAAGTTTTCAAATCATTTATTCTCAAATCCTTCATTCCTGCTATTAATGCAGACAGATTATGCTATTCTTTCTACCCCTAGTTCTCTCATTATTGCATGCTTAAACTTTCTTGTCTTTTATCAATCATATAATGTAAATAATAAAATATTTTTTCTCTCCATCTCACCCCCATCCACCCTCTCCTGGGAGGTGGCTGGTAGTAGGGAGGGGGAAGAAGAGAAAGCTAGCTGCAAAAGGTTTCAGATTACACACATACACACAGACACTCACATAGAACAGATAACATAAAGACAGGGAGACTAGTCAGAAATCCCCTATACAAATCAGAGGAGAATGAGCTTTCTCCAGTTCTGTTGTTTAAGAGAAAGGGAATACACCTTTCACCTCATCCTCTTCTGCAATTCTAAGCTTCTCATCAAATAGTCTCTTCCTCTCTTCTTCTTCCTCTGTTCCTGCCCCTGCATTTGCCCTGGGCACTTTTGTTGCTAATGGGGCATTCTCTGGAGGAGTGAGATATATTTTTAGCATGTTCCAAAATTCCTGTAGCTGACTATTTGTAATAAATAAATCCCTTTCTGTTACTATTTCCTTGAAAAGTTTTAGATAGCATTCTTTGTCTATGATTCCGCTTTGTGTTTGACCCATTCTTTCGATCCCAGGCATGCCTCCCAAAACCGAAAGTGTGTGCAGCCTTTCCAAAGCAACGCTATATCTTATGCTCTAAGTACCGAGCCTGTTTCTAAACCTTTTTCTAATCAATTTCTTGTAATTTATAATCTCCCATGTAAGCCTGGTGATTTTTTCTCCCCCTCTTAGCCTAATATTTCTAAGGGGAAACCTGTAATGACTCTCGTTCCTTTTTACCTTAGTACCGCAGCATCCAGCCACTTAAGGACCTTGTTTCCTGGCATAGTGACCAGCAAGGGTTTCTTTTCCTCCGGAGCTTTTTCAAAAGAACTGTCCTCCCTCTGACTTTTCATCCCTGTTCCAGCGCCAAAATGTTGCCTGCAACCAGATTGTACACCGAACAGAGAGGCGTGAAATAACTTGAGACATGGGCCAGGCAGAGCAGCATTACTGACTCAGTTTATTCATCTGAGGGTACAGGATATATAGAGAAAATCTAGCCTAACTTCAAAGAGTCCTCCCCATGAGATACTCCCCAAAACATCTGCTGAGGACGTGACAACATACATTTCCTCGTTATCAGGGTTCCTAGATTGGGTTGTATTTTCCAAGGTTTTCCCAGGCGCCTTGGCACCACCTGCATAGAGGAGTGAATGTGTAAATCTAAGGTTCAAAGAGTGAGAAGGAATGTCTCAGGGACCTCCTAATCAGGAAGGGATTGGAGAGCCGTACCACTTAATCATTGAGCCCTTTCGGGTAAAAGCCTGGGCAGAGGTCAAACTCTGCCTTGGATCTTAAACCCTTATCAGACTCTTAAGATCGGCCCTCAACATATAGCACATGTAATTGATGAGTGCCAATAGCAAACACAAATTGAATAAAAAAGCATCTGAAAGTAAGCTCTCCTCATCTTAAAATAAATAAAAATCCCAATTTGTTTAGCAGTGAGATAGCAATAATTAGTAAATCTGCCTTTTGACTTGTGAGTCGGGGCAGCTCCGCTGACCAGCAGCAAAGTCTGCGAAAGGGTTCTTGACCAGAGACTGCGAGGCAAATGCGAAAGAGACGGGACTCGAAGCGTGATGGAAAACGGAGTCAACTTTATTAGAGGACAGCAGGCAGTTTTATATCTTTGACTCATGGGAACATACCCCAATGTAACAGCGGACAAAGCAACAAAGTTTACATATCTTTACCAATAGGCAACACCAAGAATTTTTCTCATTGTGAATACCAAAGTATCAAGAAACACATCTCTTTGCAACATTATTCTGGCTGTGTCCTTCTCCCGTGCTGTTCCCTTGAAAACACCACATACTTCTTGTTCCCGGAATGTCCCAATGCTTGATCCATGAACTAGCAATACTTGATACATAAGCCAGCAATACTTGAGACATGTTTGTGCTAGAGCTAGCTGTGCTTGAGCTAGCAGCATTGTTTAGAGTTGAGTTTGCTTAGCCGCCCTTCATTCTGGAGAGTGGAGAACCAATCCAGGTCAAGGAGCAAGCTCCTCACCTGAGAGGGTTTATACAGCCATCAGGGTCAGAGTCCTACTCACCTGTGGTCCTCTACATGCCTATCTTATTTAATATCATTAAATAGAAAACACAGTACAACCTTCATAGATAGATAACTAAAATATTACAGTCAATTTAGTGATTTCTAGACAACTAACAATTTGGGAGTCAGTGTTGCAAATATAGAGAGAAAGTATTTTACTAAATTTTATTATTAAATTATATTATATATTAAATTATAACATAATAAATTATAACTTATAATTATAAAAAATAAAGAAATAAAGTTTTTAAGAAATAACTACACAAATATATTTACATTTACATATATATATATTAGAACTTATAAAGCACATTTTCTAATGCATTAGATTTTTCTTTCTTCCTCTTTCTTTATATTATTATATGTTATTATATTACATGACATGACATTACATTACGTTACATTACATTACATTACACTATATTATATTATGTATTATATTACATTATATATTATGTATCTTATATATTATTTATATCATATATTATCATATGACACTATATATTATGCATTTAATTATTTATTGTTTATATTGTACATTGATATATTACATATTTTGTATATTACATTATAATTTATTATTTATATTATATACTAATTTATAATATATTAATTTTAAATAATATATTATTAATTATATTTATTAATACATTTAATTGAAAGTCACTAAATATTATGTAAACCCAGTTCATTTCATTAATGAACATTATTTCTTTTTTTTAATTTCACAGGGTATTCAACAAATATTTATTCTACTTTCTTACTTGCTGATCTCATCCGTACCCATGGGTTCAATTAAAGTAAGGGTGACAAAGAGATGTGCACATCTAGGTTTAGTCTGTCTCCTCAACAATGGCCTTTTGGACATCTCAAACTAAAGTCATGTAGATAAATTTAACAAATCCAAAACAACACTATCTTTCCCAAAACATTCCCCTGTTCTCAACTTCTGTATTATTCCTGAAGGCATCACTATACTCCCAATCACCCAGTCCCCAACTTTAGCATCATCCTTAACTACACACTCTTACCCTTGCAAAATCTTGCCATTTCTTCTTTCACAATATCTTTCATCTACCTCCCCTTTCCATTTCTTTTTTTTTTTGACATATATTAATTTAATGTAAAGGTTGCATAAACTCTATCCTTTTTCTCATTCTTTTTTTCCCTTTTTAAAATTTTTATTAATTTATTTTGATTTATCTGCAGTCAATTCCAAGTTTTTGAGTTTAAAATTTTTCTCCCCCTTCCTCCCCACCACCCTCCCCAAGACGGTGCACAATCTGATATAGGCTAAATATATACATTCTTATTAAACATGTTGTCAGATTAGTGATGTTGTAAGTAAAAATTAGAACCATTAGGTGGAACCACCAGAAAGAGGAAACAAAACTCAACAGAAGAGAAAAAAAATAGCAAATAGTGTACTTCGATCTGCATTCAAATTCCATAGTTCTTTCTTTGGATATGGATAGCATTTTCCATCATGATTCCTTTGGCGATGTCTTAGATCCTTGTATTGCTGGGAAGAGTTAAGTTTATCAATATTAGTCATCATACAACATGGCTGTTATTGTGTGCAACATTTTCTTGGTTCTGCTCACTTCATTCACCATCAGACCACACAAGTCTTTCCAGATTTTTCTGAAGTCAGCCTGAATGAACATTATTTCTTCTTTTAAAGATGTGATTTTTCTGGATCATGATTCACCTTTTTGGCATTCTTGTGGATTCATTTGGAGATCCTATTGGAGAAGTGCTTAAAGATCTAGATTCAAGTTCAGATGTAGTTAGGGGAAAAAAGAAGAAGCCAAAAAACAATTTACCTCATATGCTTATATTTCTACACAGATATGCAATATATGTATGTATTTTTTTTTTAAAATTTCTCTTGGGACCCATGATTCATCATGTTAAGGAACTCAGAGTTTAAGAATCATGAGAACAGTCACTGGTCCAAATTAGTCTTAGAGTTTCCTGAGCACTTTGTAAGTGACTTGCACATGGTCTCATGGGCAGCATATATCATAGGGAGACCTTGAACTCAGTTTTCCTGGAAGTAACCTACCATAGAGGGTTGTTTTGAAGCTCAAATCAGAGAATGTATGCAAAATGCTTCGCCAAACTTAAAGTGCTATATAAATAGTCACTATTGAGTATAGACTATATAAATAGTCAGTCATTATTACTACCCTTAATATGTATTTTGATTTTAGAACAACTCATCAAATTGTTCATATAATATTTCTTTTTCATCCTCTGCGGTAGACTTCGGTATATAATCTGCTACTATAATTATGTTCATGGTGGTCTGTTTGCTTATGCTTATGTTGAGCTCTATTTCCTATTTAATTATATTTAGTATTGCCTTTGGGCTCACAATGAAACCAACCTTGCCAATTATTTCATTTGCCTATTTGAGGAAAATGTGAACCACACTTCTATTTAGCTGCAGCTTATTGCTGTGTTTTGGCTAAATTGATAGCAAGGATGTCAATATGAATATGATTTTGTCCTTTCAGTACTGTTGGTCATTAGACAGAGACTGTAAATTAAGATTCTAACAGCTAAACTGATATTTGTAGATGGTTTTTGAATTGTGGGATTCTTAGCATCTTTTGCCTCCTTTCCCATCACTCTTCTGAAATCACTAGCATCACAGAATTAAACAGAAATACAGAATGCAAGCTTGGATATGACTTCAATGGCTCTCTAGTCCAAACAATTCTTGAACAGCAATCTTCTTGATTGCATCCCCCCAGAAATGGTTGACCAGCATCATGTCTGAAGATCAGAACTGAGGACAATTATTGTTCTGTTTCATGGGATGCTGTGGCCAAAGACTTCATTACCTACTGACCAGCCTTCTAGATCTAAGCCTCTCTGTAAGTGGCCTGGCTTGTGTTCTGGAAACAGATACAGTCTAGCTCTGGGGTTATGCTATCTTTCTAGCTTATAAGAAACAACATGCTAGATCTTACACTTCACTGGCACAGAAGAATTCAAAGTTACTTCAAAGTGATGAAGAAGAGGGAAGGGGCACTGAAACAGCAGCTTTGTGGGAGTTTTTCAGCATATTTAAAAATCAGGAATAGCTTCAAATTCTAACATTTATTTATGAATAAGTTGGACATACCTTCATCAAGTTCCCTATCCATGCTTTCCAACAACTCCAGCTGCATCTGAAATAACATTGAAATACCATTCAGAACAATAAAGTAAATGAGGAAGAAGGAACCTGAGAAAATACACAGAATTCAATAAATCTTTAAAAAAATTACAGACATCCAAAGAAATTACTAATAAACTTAGACACCAGCATAGTTTGACTTTAGTCATTCAACAGAAAATCTATTGGTCTAAAAAATAATACTATTATAAACAAAATCAAGAGCTTATCAAAATTAATTATTTACAAAGAGATATGAACTTTGTTGGCATAGTAGTCATGTCGCAGGGTTTGAAAATAGTTTTCTTCTACTCTAAGCAAATCTTTCCCTTTATATTTTCAGTTTTCTCAACATAACATTTTTCTTTAAGAATGAAATCAATTTCCTATCCTACACTTTAAAATAATTAATTTCAAATATTGATTAAGTTACAGAAAGTCTAAACACAAAAAGAACATCAACTTACACTGAGCAAAACAGAAAAGAAAATGCCTGAAAATGATTAAATGCAATAGGAAAATTCAAAGGATGGGTATTAAAAGAAAACAGCTCCTTCATTTTCTGTTCTAATTGAAATATTTCTTAATCCAGGCAGAAATTGATTGATTTCATTTGATTTTCTAGATCCATGCTTTGTGGTTTTGTAGACTGTAGTAACAAAGCTAAGAGAGATCGTGGTTTCTACTCTAACTTGTAAAGAAAGAAGGAAAGAGACTGGTGCCAGTCTTCCAGTTCTTATAACAACTTCATAGAAGTGGGAAGAGAAGATGAAATGGGAGCACTCTTGATAAAGAATAAAGTTGTATAGTTTCCTTTTCAGAAGACAGATGAAATAGGATAGTATAGATAGGAGATAAATGTTGCAAGATAAATATAAAGCATGTGGGGAAAGTATCGCTAAAACATAATATCCTTATTTATAATGTTCTTACTTAATTTTACACTCAAGATATTTCTCTCCAAATTTGTAATACTAAATGCACAAAAGAATATCTGGCAGAGAACTGCACAAATGTCTGTTATTGTTTATGATGACGATATTGGAAACTTCTTTTGTCCTGGTAGTAAACTTGGAAGTAAGAGAGGAGGAGTGTGTGGATCTATTCCCCAGGTTCTGAGTTAGATCTTTCTTAAACCTTTCTTTGATAGCATCATCACTAGAAGATGTCTTAGGTAATGAAAAACTTGACATTGGGCAAAACCTTTAGCTAGAAGATTTTAAGTGTCACATTAATAAAGACACGTTATAAAAAGAAAATAAAGTTGATATATATTTTAAGGGAAGACTAACATTTAATTTAAAAATTAATTTACAAAAATCTCTTTTCATATGTTTAATATTTATGTAAACTATATCTCTGTGCTTCTATCTATATGAAACATATAGACATACATGTACATGTATTATATGTAGAGGGTGTGATCAGGAGCAGCCTAGTTAACATGACATGATTAAAAGATAAGGACTTTGTTCTCGATTTGAACTTATCTCTAATGTATAAGGAGTTAACTTGCCCAGTGAAAATATGTTTAGCATTTTGGTCCCACCTTCTTGGTAGGGTATGATATTTGCTTTAGATGCACACTGATACCATACTAAAGAATCCCAATATTTCATCTCCCTTTTAAAGGCCAAGATCGGGGTGTGGCTCAGATTCACACCAGCCAGGTGTCAACCAATCATAAATGTGGAATCAATAAGCCACTAAGTAGCCAGGAAAAAGACATTCCTTACTTTCTAAATATGAACACTATCCCAGTTATGATGTCAGTAGGGATTTTCACACTCTCTTTGGGGGAATAGCTTCAAAGTCCTAACAAAGGTCTAACTCTAATTCTGTTAGTTGAATAAGGCACTTTCTTCTGGTGATCTCTCTCTCTCTCTCCATCTCCTTTTTCTGTGTATGCATAATACATGTATATGCATGTGAGCATGTATGTATAGATATATGTACGTGTGTGTATGGTCAGAGGCATTTGGTGCACAGGGAGTGAGATTTGAGCCCAGGTCTTCTTGCCTTCAAATCCAGCAATAATTTGTTCTTTCCCTACTTATATATGCATATATCTGCGTATATATTATGTGTTTACAATTGTAGACTTTGTTGGTTTAATTAGAAAAAAAAATTTCAATTAAAGAAACTTGTGATGATTGAAGTTTTTATTATTTGATATTAGAAGTACCATGATAAGACTCCAGTATGAGGTCACTTAGGCTAAGTGGGCCTAAGTTCCATAAATTATGTGGGCAAATACTGTCAAGGTTGTACTTGGCTACTCTTCTGACTCTGGGTCAACAGTTAATGCTCACGGCTTCTGATTGGAAAATACTCCTGGCCATGTGCAGCAATCTAAGTTACTCCTTTCTTTGGCTGCCTCAGATAGTCAACTCAGACCTTCTCCCAATTTCTGGTGTCAGCAAAGAAACTCCCCTTACCTGAGCTTCACCAAGCCTTGCATCAGTAAGGGACCCCAAGAACTTCCCAACCTTTGGGTCTCATTTAGGAATGCCTCCTCCCACATTTAGCACTGATTATCTCTTCTCCGTCAAGACCATTTTTAGGGTATCTAAGTTCCCTACTTGAACCCCACGTCTGACATCTCCCTCCCTGGTGGTCTGGGTGAGTTTCTTGCCCCCTTGGGGATCAACCTCTCTCTATTGCCAGAGAAGGTATTTGTATGTATGCTTTGTTTCCCGAGGCTTGCTGAATTGCATAATAACAAAGCTCCCCTTTATATCAGCTTCCTGAATTCCAATTTCCTGTAAAGAGTCAAACCCAGGTCTTCATTTTAACCCAAGCTGTGACACTAAATAAAGAAAAACTTCAACACATATAAACTTTAGATGTTAGAAAAGAAATATTTTTAGAAAGAAACAGGTACAGTTTTCAAAACTCTAGAAATACAAAGGCATTCTTTTATTATTACAAATATAATAAAGTGACTTTGCAACTTGATAGCTATATAAAGTTGGGCAAGCCTAATCTATGAGCCACAGTGTTCTCATATGCAGAATGGGAATAATAATTGCACTAAAACCTTACAGGTTATCATAAGGATAACACAAGAAAATATATGTCAAATATTTTGCCAACTATAAAGCACTACCTACAAAAACTCTTGATTTCTATATTCTCAAAGACAATTCATGTGATTTCAGCTTTAGACTTCAGAAGTTATCATATGGTTTCCCTAACCATTCTTAATCTCTTAGTATGATATTTCTCAATAAGGCTAGCCATATGCAAGGGGAGAGTAGTAGACCATAACCCATGTGTCTTATTTTGAGAAGGCTTCCTATTCCTGAAAAGGCTTACTATTCTCTAATAGCTTCCCTTCTTGACTTTGACTGATGCCTGAAAATCTGTGGAAGACAAGAAAAGTACTTAGTGGAATATTATTATATTAGGTTTCCCTCATGTGTTTACCTTCTTTGAAAACACTGTCACTGACTTGTAAAATTGTAGATCCTACATCTAATCTGCAAGTGTGTCATTGGGAAAAATGAACATTGCAAATCTTTAGTTTGCTTTTGAAAACTGAACAGCCAGAATATAAGCAGGCACTAACTAATCAATGAAAAAAAGAGATTCTCAACTTAAAAAAGAGGAGGAGAAGTGGGTTTACAAACAGGGGACATTCTGAGTCTTTATTTTTAATTTTTTTCCCTGAAATTGAGACAATTTTGATTTAAAATGCAATGCGGCTTAGTGGATAATACACAGGGCCTCAGAATCAGGAGGGGTTCAAGTGCCATATCTGACACATGCTTGTTAGGTATCTCTCCATAAGTCACACAAAACACTCTTTTCCATGGTCAACTCCCTTATACTACAGGTGACAAAGCAGCTGCTGGTCTGTACTGATAAAGGAAGTTCCTAACTAGGAGCTCCTTGTATGGATGAAATCACAGGCCAGAAATAAACATCAGAACATTTTTTTAAATGAATGCAGACAGCTCATAATATTGCAGAGTACTTGAATACAAATGCACTTTCATCCACTCAACTATCTACTTCAACTATAAAATTTCAACTGGGTACCTGCTAGGTAGAAAACATTGTGTATTGTGTCCCAAACATTGCAAAAAAGGGGAGAAATGGTCCTTAAATAGTCCTTAACTCCAAGGAGTTCACAATGTACTTTGAAGGGTACTGATTCCTGAAATACTGCACTTAAAGCTAACAATGAATAGTAGGGTTTGAGATTCCATACTGGAAATTATGTTTCATAATCTTTTGAGACAACTGTCTCTAAAGTATTTGCATACAGTCCCGAACAACATGTTTTCTTGAAATGTTTACATTGCTTAAGATTGCAGTGTAATGGATGCCGTGTACTCAGGATGCATTTAAATGTGAAATGGTGAGAAGATGCAGGTGATTTATCCAGTTGTAACAAAATGAAGTGTGCTCTGCTCTAACCATTTCTACAGCATATACTTTAATATATTCAGTTTTCTTTTAAAATGCATTAATATGGAGTGATTCTGTTTTTTTTTTAATGAAATATTAGACCAAAGTGATCCAACCCACAAATAGAGAGCTAATAAGAACATTGGGCCATGTTGACTACACACCTTTGCACAGATAGGGCTGTATTGGAAGAAAAGGGACAAACAGATGGTTGATCAAGGAGCTGAAGAAGTAAGAACACATGTATACATCTCACACCAAAAAATTATTTTAACAAAAGAAACAAAGGAAAAGTAGTGATGGTGAACTGATCCCCAAAGGGAAATAGTGAATATAATGCCTGTGTTTGTACAGGTAAAATGAAGTGGTCAAGTCAGATCAATTAGGAGACTTTCACATGGATTACTTCTCTCAAAATTGCAGACCAATCTGTTTTTAAAATGAGCATTGTAATTAAATGCTTCATAGGGAAGACAAATTTACTCACGTTCATTTTTCTTTATCTATCGATATCATCTAGATGCTTACAAGATATAGATCCATAAAGCTTAATCCTTTAATCTTTATCAACTGACTGATTAGTCCATTGCATATATACATTTTTGAGGGCACTTTAGCAGTGTCTTTAAAAAATCCCAAAATTTTCTGAACTTAATGTTGACTGCATTACATTTATTGTGTCAATGCTGGGAGGTGCTTAGAAATGGGCATCTTTTAAGAGAAAGAGGCAATAGATACACAATATCTCTTAAGGTTATATACCTAGTTTAAGAAAACCTGTATGTAAATATGAATTAAAAAGCTAAAGATAATTATCCATATCACATGAGATTGCTTTGCAAAAGATTTTTCTAGGATACTCTAAAAAAAGAGAGGGTGTTTATATGCGTGTGGTTTTTTTTGTGTTTATGCATGTGTTTTTTTAAAAAGAAATTCTGAAAAAGAAGAATCAAAGAAAGACTGTGCTTTAAGTCATTATCATGAGAAAAATAAATCGGAGGAAATAAAACCTCTTTAAATATTGGTTGGCGAGAAAATAGTATTCAATTTAAAGAATCCTTATATGAATGCCATTTGTCAAGGTTACATAAATTTTATAAAACCAGGTATAGGTATAATTGAGAAGTTATCAGATTAGGAAATATGATTGTCATAGGCCTAAAAAAAATAAAACTCATTATCTAGCATTTTAAATTTTCATTTGGTATAAGGACTACCTTCATTTTAATAGATCACAAAAATCAATGACACATTCAAAAATAATAAAGCAGGAAATTTCACTAAGATGAATATTTTACATTATATCTTTGACATAAAGGAAGAAAAAAATTCTAAATGACTAACCCTTGCCAAGTAGGCCGCAAGCTGCTTTCTGAAGACATGTAATTCTAGTAGAAAATCCTAAATTTCCTCTGGAAATAAGACTTCTCCTGAGGAACATATTGGTACTGATATTTGCAACATGTGGTGGCTCCAGAACTGGATTTGCAGTAAAACTGGTGATTAAAATTTCATTCTTTTGTTTTTCTTTCTGGAGTTGATGACTCACCTCAGTTAGCCTCTCACTGTTTCTGTGAACATTTCAAATCACATAAATGGTTAAATAAATATTTTTAAAATAACTTTTCTTAAATGGCTGTTTTTTTTAATGCTATCATAATTTTGAATTTTTTCCCTGAGTAGTTTCTTAACTCTGAAAACCATTAAAAATACTGGTTATAAAAGTTTTTGGATAATTGAGTTTCTTCCAGTACAATCCTTTCCCAATAAAAAGTATAAAGAAATTGAGCAAAGTAAAAGGTTGTCAGATCATCCTGGGAAATTTTAAAATAAAATAAATCAAACCACAGAAGATACTTGCAAATCTGGGGTTCCTTACTAAACAGATCTTTTAAAGAAGCCATTAAAAGCACTTGTATTCTATAAAATTATATTGGAAATTAGTAAAGTTGTTTTAAGGGTATCATATCTGGGTGATTATTCTAGGCAGTGCTTTTTCAGTCTTTTCACCTGGACCCAGGTAGCAGCCAAATGACTCAGGGTTGCAGTCACTAGAGGGAAAAGGGGATCACTCAGTTGAGGCTAAAAAAAGTCCTGAGACTCTCAACTGTATAACCAGCCCATAATACCTACCCATCAATGTCTCCATTGTCATATATAGCAAGGAAGATCGCCCCATCTCTTTTTCTTAAACAGATAGTATCTTTTGGCTATCCAAGACTCTAATTTAAACCTGTAACATTTCCCTTCTTTCTTTTCCCCTCCAATAGCTCCCTCAATGAACTTTCACCTCTATAGAAAACTGAAGACTTGGGATAGCAGTGAATTGAGGGGAATGGTTTGACTTGCTGAGGGTCACCAGGATGGCCCTGAGTCCTTCAGTCCTGGTTGGCACCATTAGGAGAAGATTATTTACAATGTGCTGTATATTGCTATGATCCTGTTATACATTTTCAGAAACACTTAAGACCTTTTAATACTGTCATTTGATGAAATGAGAATAATGTTATTCTAATTTTCAAAATATTTAACTTCATCCTGGAAGAACTAATCTGTAGCAGATAGTAAAAAGAAAGAATATGGCATACAAGTAAGACACTTAAAAATAAATAATTTTCATAGCATCACAGATTGAGGACTGAAAGGGAAGCCACCTAATCAAACACCCTCATTTTAAAGAGGAGGAAACGAAGTTCTGGTAAATTAAGCGACTTGCTCAAGGTCATACAATAGTAAGCATCAGAGGCGAGATTTGAAGCCAGGTCCTCTGCCTCTACCCAGAGTACCATCTTTCCAATATACCACACTGCATTCTTTTGTACCTAGTTAACATTTTAAAAAAATATTTCATTTACCAATATGTATAAAAGTATTATTTCTACAGTTAACCCCCATTTCCCAATGAAGTCATACATCAGTCCATTAAGGATTTGTTAAATTCAAAATGGAAACTTTAAGTACTATTTTCTTAGTGTCCCTGTTTGGGCTTACCTGGCTAATTTGTCTGACAAGGATTTTGTGCTTTTTAATGCTTCAGAATAAAGCTGTCTGTATCTCGCTAGCTTGCCTCAGCAGACTCTTGACTTGAGCTTTTCATTTTGGAGATTTCAGTTTCCAGATCTCCAATTCGTTGCTCCATTTGGTTTCTTAGGGAAGCATTGTTATTTCTCTTAATTGTTCTAAGTTCTCTTGGAATGCTGCTTGTATCTAAACCAAATGGAACACAAAGAATGAAGTAAACAAAACAAAATGTCCAACTCTATTCTGAAAATTATAGGATGTTTATTACCATATTCTGTTAGATTTCATTTTAATTTCGGTCAGTGATTCAGAAAGCAGTTCTGAATTTTTAAAAATAGATTCCAACTTTGAAAGTACTCATTATCAAGGTCAGCTGAATTAAATTTGAACTTAAAAACAACAGCAACAACAACCCTATTTCTACTGGATGTTAGTTCACTACTTCTTATCCTTGCGCTAATATTAGGATCATTACAAAAATAATAGGTATAATTCTGAAAAGCAATTTTTTACTACAGCATCTTCAAGAATGTTTTCTCACAACTAAAGTATTGGTTGAATTAAAAAAAACACCTTGCCCTTCAATTTGTTCTAATTATGCCATTTTTTAAAAACTCAGTTGATATGGATAGAGAACTGGCCATGAAGTTAGGAGGATATGAGTTCAAATTCGACCAGACATGACATTTACTAGCTTTGTGACTGGGCAAGTCACTCAACCCCAACTGCCTAGCAAACAAACAAGCAAATAAAAAAGTCCAATCCCAAGGCCCCCCACTCACCCACAAAAAAGCCACCTCAATTGAGAGTATGCATAGTTACTTTCACTAATGATTTCAAATGCTGTAAGAAGGCAGAGGGAGAAAATTATATATACATATATATACATGCATACACACACACACACACACACATATTCTGCATTTAGAATAGGGAAAAATTCCCAAACCTTCATTTACACAGGAATATTTTAAAACATACTAGTGATAAAGTAACTTGTTGACTTTTTTAGTTTTTCAATAATCACCTTCCTTGCTCTTTTTTCAGTCTCATGTTTGTATTGTGCTATTTGACTGCATTCTTTCATGCATGTGTACATATATACACATATAGACACTTGTATATGTATTTACAGATATGCTATAAAACATCCAGTTCATTTTCACTAAAGAGCAAAGTAAATTATTGTATATATTACTAATAGCTAATGAAGCTAAAAAGCAAAAGAAATTAAAAATTTTCCATCTGATTAGATAAGAGTAAGTATGCTGTAAAAATAAATTCAACTAAAGTCTAGTAAAACTTTTTGAAGGAAACCTAAGCTAAAAGAAGCCGATATAAAATTGTAAAAAGGAAAAATTGGCATAATTAATTGAATTCCTACAAATAAACTAAAATCTAGTATGAAATTACTAGATTTAAGCACATGATCATATACATGAAAAATAAAATTTGAAAACATTGTGTATACGAAATTGTTACACAGTACAATACTTTGTAGTCCTGCTACCTACTGCATATATGAAAAATAGATAGTGAGGATTGTTATCAGACTGTTAAAAGCTATCTGTCTTCAACAAATGAAAGGTAGTGATCCCAGAAACTGCAATTTTGGACATTAAGCAAGAGGTGTTAGTAAAAATATTGAGATAAATAAAAAAAATATGTAGTGAGAAAACACAAACACATTTTTTAAAAAAAATGGATGCTTGATGCACAATCATAATGTCTTTGAACAGAATTGCCGTCCTAAATTTTAAAGGAGAGTAGTTGCTAGTCTTTGGAATTTCATTACATTATGATCCAGTGTTTGATGTTTCTAAAATTCGTTCAAAGGAGTTTGAATTAAAATTAGTCAGATTGATAAACTGTTTAAATGATTATGAAAAGGATAACTACAATATCCCACAGTATCTCAATTCAGGTTTGAATTGTTATATTATCACTAGCATAAGTTTTCATGATTTATCTTAAGTTTTAGCATTTCAAATAATTTATTCTATTGAACATTGAAATGGAATATCATTACAATTATGAATTTATCAGTATTTATTGAGAAGTGACTAACTCCATCTGCCTTTATTAAACCAACTCTCTGCCTTTAAAATTTCATGGGCTACATAATATTTTTAAGCAAAGTGAGTCATCTTATCTACAAGGTGGATAACAGGTTGATTTCTATCATGTTATTGCTTCCTCATTCTCCTTTCTTACACGTCAGAATTTTTACAATCAAAGTTAATAACATCATCTGCCTGCAGAAAATTCAAATTTCTAATTTACCTTGATCAAAATTATTTTGAATTTCATTTCAAAAAGTTAAATGCTTATCAAATTATATTATTTGAAGACCTACCTCTCTTTCTGCTTTCTCATTTTCATATTTACACATTTGTTCTCTTAAGTGGTTATATTCATTGATTAACTCTTTATTTCTGCCTTCTACTGTAAGAATTCGTTTTCCATATCAGCACAAACTTTATTGAAGAGATCAATAGCATCACTCAACACCTTTTCTTTAACAATTTCTTTGTTTTGGCATCTTCAAGCTGTTGCCGAAGCAACATATTTTCACTCTGGTTTTGGGCTAATCTTTCTTGGATACGTTCTTCTTTGATGACATATGTGTCCAGTTTTTTCATTTTCATTTGATTTGTCTCTTCCAGTTCCTTTGCTTTATATTCGGCCTGGTTTAATTCTGTCTGTGTGCTTTCTGAAATTAGTGGCTTTTCTCTGAGAGAATCATGTACATGGTGTAGCTCATTTTCTAAACGACGGGCTTTACTTTCAGCTTTAGAGAGCTCTTGAGAAAGGACACGATTCTTCTCTCTTAGACTAGATAAGTCATAATTTAGTTTGTCCTGTAAAAGAAACCAGTCATCTCGTTCTCGCTGACAGCTATTTTCAAGGTCCCGTGTTGATGTCTGACTTTGTTCATGATCACGAATAGCAGAAGTCAGACGGGAATGGTATGATTCAATTTCTTTCTCTAGTCTGTCTCTGTTTTGTTTTTCATTCTCCAATTTAGAGTTCAGGATTGCATTCTCAGTGGTCAGAACATTTATTTGTCCGTTGTACTGGGATATTGTTTTTGTTAGTGCTTCTTTATTCAGTTTTAATTCCTTTTGAAGCTCATTATTCTTTTCTTTCAAAACTTCATTTTCTTCTGTATATTGATTTTCTTTCTCCTGATTCTTAATGTTTAGTCTGTCTAACTCTAGTTTAAACATGGCAACTTCATCCTGTAGGCTTTGATTTTTATGGAGCAGATATTTTTCTTTTTCATTGCTATCAAGAACCTAAACACAATGAAGAGGGAAAAAAAGTTGCTACTCAAAATAAAATTATGCATCCTAATTTTTCCTTAGTAAATAAAACTAAATCCCAAGGGGCCGAGAAGCATAATGTATTCAAAGAATACACAAATTGAGTGGGTTTCACCTATTTCACATTTCTGTCAGACTCAATTTTCTGAAAGAACATATCTTAAAAATGCTACATCAATTAGAAAACATGTACTTCAGCTATTCAGACCTCAAAACAGATAGGCATTTCACTATATGATATAGAGTACATTTTACAAACCCTGTATTTTTAGACCCCTAAATCTGTCTGCTTTTCAGCATATTTTATTTCCTTTGCTATCTCCATTTGATCCCACACTGGCTGTGCATGGTATTATGATAAAAATAACAACACCTAATATTTACAGAGGCCTTATAAAGTACTTTGCAAAGTACTTTCAAGACATTATCTCATATAAGCCTTGCAACACCCTTACGAGGGAAATACTCATAATATTCTCTCCATTTTACAGATTAGGACTTAGGTTAGGAGAAGTTATTAAATAACCTGCTCATTGTCACACCTAGTAAGTGTTAGAAGCAGTATCTGAATTCAGGTCTCTTCAGACTCCAAATCTAGCACTCTTTTCCAATAGCTAATTTCCTCCTAGGTGTTGAAGAGGAGCAGTTGTCCTACAGTTAGAGTCATTGTCCTGGTAAAACTATCTTAACTGCAGACAAATGAAGTGATAACAGTCTTAGAATTTCTTAGTGCACATCTTAAGAACAATCTGTTCTCTGACAGATCTGTAGCATTTTCAGAGCATCACTGATTTAGAACTTTTAGAGATTATTTACTCCAAACTCCTCATTTTAGGGATGGGAAAAGTGAGGCCCAGATGGGAAAAGTGAGGGTCAATAGATGATAACCTAACCCTAACCATGAAAGTTTAAAGGAATAATGAAAGCATTATTGATGCCAAATTATAAAAAGTTGATTTGGCATTCCCATCAGAGTAAAACGGGTCCAGGAGCATTTGTCCCCATTCAGGACTGGTGGAAACAGCTGTATCAACAAGCTCAGGAGCCCCATTCTATGAGATCCCTTCTGTAAAGACAGGAGAAAGGTATGAGGAGCAATTGAGTTAAATGAAGCACTCCAGTGCCCAGGTAACAAAGGATTACCAAGGGCCAATAGCCTGAGTGATTTACTTCAAACCACTGTTGAAAAAAAAAGAAAAGAAAAAGAAAAGATCTTAAATTTGGTATTTCATGAACTTGTGTTTTTCTATCATACTGAGCAATAGTGAATGTGAATGAATGAATCCTTGTCATGTGTAGAGCCTTCTGTTAGAAATCCAAGTGAAATTTATTCTTGTTGCGCATATTTTTATTCCTTCTCTGCTTACTAGCTACCATAATTCTGTGGTAGCTACAAATGAACAAAATAATACAGGCTAGGTCTGATTATGTTTTAGTACAGAAGTATTTTTACCTCCTCGGTTTTGGAAGCTATGCTTCTCTTAATGCAATGCAAAATTACATCAGATTTTTGGTTGCCAAATAACAGCACTGACTCACTTAAGCTTAAATCTTTTCGGGCAACATGCTATCTAATCATATTTCCTCCAACTTATACTTGTGATGCTATTTTTTCTACCTAATTATAAAACTTTACCTTAATTCTTACTGAATTACATCTTATTAGTGGGTTCAGTCCAGTGCTCCGCCCTATTAAGACTTTGCCTTCCTTGCATTTAGAAAGGCTTGGATAATTTGAATTGCATAAGTAAGAGCCAAAGATGCTAGAGAATAATAAGCTTTACTGAAAGACTGAAGGATGTGTGGTAAAGTGGAATGTAAAGAAATGAGAAGGACTGAACCTGAAATTTCATTAGCCTAGAGATTTTTCAGGTAAGGAAACTCCCTCTGGCAAGGTAGAGAAGTTCTCTGGAACTTAGAGTCTTAAAGAGGCTGAGGACAGAGTAGTGATGTCAAACAGATCCCCCCAGTACTGTTTTGTGGGTAGCTTTTGGGGAGTTTGAAACCTCTGGCCTGGGCTCAGGTAAAATGACTTGCCCAGGGTCATACAGTGAAGATGTGTCAGGGCCAACACATGAACCTGGGTCTTCCTCAGTTTGAGGCCAGATCTAACCACTATACCATACTGATTTTCTACTGTGAGACACTTCAGAAAGTACTAGCTCCATCTTACCTTTCCCATGCCCATTTAGCCTGTAATTTTACATTCAAATGGTAAAATAAGGGATTTTTTCTTTATTTTTCTTTATATATTTATGAATGATTGAGCCTACTTACTTATACTAACTATAAATACCATAGCCCTTCTTTAGGATTAAAAAGACTTCACAGCATTTACCTCTCCACTCCCAGGGAACCCATAAATATTCTTAATTAAGACAAGATGGAAATATTGACTTTTAAATTCCAATTTGCCTGTTTCAAATTATTTCTTACTCTTTTCAGTTCAACGTGCAGATTTCTAAGAGTAAATTCAAGCTGCTGTTTTAGCTCCGCATCTTTACTATGTTGTTCATGTATTCTTCTTAACTGTCCTCTTATGTTTTCAAACAGCATTTCTGCAGTCATTCGCTTTTCTTTCTCTTGCTTCAGTATAAACCTAGATTAAAATTGCTTTTTTTTAAAAAAAATCACAGTTCAATAGAAATAAGGAACATAATGACATTTAATTGTATTCATCTGGACCTCTAAAGGAAAAGAGCATTAATTTGAGGGGAACTGGACCTGTGTAGAAAACTCACCATCAGGAAACTCCCTCTACTGATGCAGATTGGTCCCTTTTGAGCCTTAGATAGTTCTTGGGGTTATTGAGTATTTATATCACTTGTTTCAGGCTCACACAGTCAGGATGTGTCAGAAATGAAACATGAAGCCATTTCTCTACCCAGGCTACTCCAGGGCATTAAACTTCTATCAAAAATGTATCATATAGTTTTTTGGTTGCTTTGACTTTCTGTATTCAATGGAGAGAAATTCCATCAATTGGATACATATGTGCACCTACTTCCCTCCTTCCCTGCCTGCCTTTTTAGCTTTAAAATGTTATTGAATTGTACTAAAGAGGAGCTAGAGGAAATGACTTTTTCCAAATTCCTGAATTTTGATACATCTCAATGACTCTGGTAAAATGTGTAGAGGCAGAGGCAAAGCCAAGATGGTGGAGTAATGGCTGGGATTAGGCTGAGCTCTCCTCCAAATCCCTTCAAATCCCTTTGAAAAATGGCTAAAGAAATTCTACAGCAGCAGAACCCACAAAAAGTGAAGTGTAAAAAATTTCCAGCCCAAGACAACTTGGAAGGTGGGCAGGAAAGGTCTGTTGCACCAGGGTGAGAGAGGAGCACAGTGCAGCACAGAATGCACCAGCCTAGACCAGCCCCAGGCTCAGGAAATCAGGACCAGGCCTTGAGACTGACTGAATCAGCAGCAGCAGCAGTTGCCTCTGGAACTCTCACAGAGGGCAAGGGGTCCAAGAACTCTTCAGAAGGAGTATAGGGGTCTTTTGGCTCACACTGAGGCAGGCCTCTGTTGCTTTGCCCATACTGGATCTGGGTCACAGTAAGGGGTGGCAGTCCCAGTGAGAGGAAGAGCAGTAGCATAGCCAAGCTTGTGGCCACAGTGGAGGAGGGACCCTCCTTACAATTCCAGGGTAGAAAAGAGTGGTTGTGGTTGCTCACAGATCCCAGCACAGACCAGGAGAGGAGTAAACACCTATCTTTAGATCACACTACTTGGAAGAAGGTGAAAACTTACAGGTCCCTAGAAATATCTCTGAAACAGCTGCACAAAACCCCTGAAGCTTGGGACAGTATGACCTCCAGCCCTTGAAGCTGAGCCCTACTTTAACAAAGTGTCAAAAGTCAAAATATAGGCTGGGAAAATGAGCAAACAATGGAAAAAAAACCCTTAGGCTATACATACTTACTTTGGTGACAAGGAAGATCAAAACATATACCTTGAAGAAGAGAACAAAGTCAAAGCTCCTACATCCAAAGCCTCCAAGAAAAATAGGAATTGGTCTCAGGCCATGGAAGAGCTCAAAAAGGATTTTGATACTCAAATAAGAGAAGTAGAGGGAAAATTGGAAAGAGTAATGAGAGTGATGTACAAAAATATTTATAGCAGCTCTTTTTTGGGGGCAAAGAATTAGACATTGAGAGGATACCCATCAGTTGGGGTATGGCTGAACATATTGTGGCATATGATTAGGATGGAATACTATTGTAGTATAAGAAATGATGAGCAGGATGCTTTCAATGCTTTCAAAAAACCTGGAGAGACTTTCGTGTGCTGATGTAAAGTGAAATATATTGTGTACAAAATAACAGCCATATTGTGAACAAAAAACAGTGGTGGAAAACTCAGCTATTTTCAGCAATACAATCATCCAAGACAATTCTGAAGGACTTAGGATGAAAAATGCTATCCATCCCCAGAGAAAGAACTGATGGCATCTCAATACATATTGAAGCATCCTTTTCCCCCTTTATTTTCAGTTTTATTTTCTCTGTGCTTTCTTTCACGACATGAGTATTATAGATATGTTTTACATGACTACACATGGATACGCTGTATAGAACTGCTTGCCTTCTCAATGAGGGCATGTTGTGGAGGGAGAAGAGGAGAATTTAGAACTCAGTTCTAAAAATGGATGCTAAAAATTGTTTTTACATGTAACTGAGGAAAAACAAAAATAAAATACTAAAAAATGTTTAAATGGAAATGTAGATAAAATTCCTGACTAAAATAAGGTGTAGGAATGATTTCTACAATTTCCTCATCCGTTTTGCCATTACTAATGATTATTCAGAGTTGATTTTTACTATGTTTTGAAAAAAAAATTCCAATTGTGGTATAGTTTTAAAAATTCACTAAAAATGCATCTCTCATGGATGTCCATAAAATAAAAGGGATTAAGTAGGGCTCATTATATTGTTATTTTAAAGATGTGTCATTTTTTTCCTTTCTAACCCCAAATCCTCTCTCACAATGCTTCAACATAAGAGAAATGCTTTCAAGTCTTTATTGAAACTCATGAGTTAGATACCTGAGTCTACAGATTTCTCCATCCTGTTCTGCTTTTTGATGCTCTACCTGGGAATTCATTTCTTTTGTTTCTGCTAATTCTTCCCATAGTTCACTGATCTTGTTTTCTAAACTCTTCACTTTTCCAGTGAGTAGTGTATAGTGTCCTTTTTTAAGTTCTATTGATTGTCCAAATCTAAGAACTGCGTCCCGAATTTTCAAAAGGCTAATAGGATCTATACAGAGAAAAACACAAATAAATAAATAGGAGTATTTTAAATTCTGCAGTACAATAGCAGTATACTTAGAATTCAGATTCCACATATAAATCCTAAGGATACACCGAAATATTTTGTCAAAAGATTTACATTGAATTTGAAAATAACCTATTTCTCTGTGGGCGTTGTGGACAATTAAAAAGAATCTCTAAGTTACATATAACTTCAGAAAAAACCATTTGAAGCCTCAGAGTTCTTCAAAATATGGGAAAATATATGTGAAAAGTAAACATTCTGATGTGTGCTCTGGGGGGGGAGACAAATAAGATAAAATAGATTGTACATTTAGTATGTATTTATTGCAAATATACAGAATTATTTTATAAATATCATAAATGCATTTTACACTAAGTAGTTATATGTAAACACTGCTTCTCCCTTAGGGACTTAGAATATAAATCTGTATGTAACATTCATACAGCAACATCCATCCTCATTTTTTCACTAGCCAGACTTTTGGTAACTTTAAGTAAAATACAACTGAGACACCAGAAGAAAGTGAAAAAATATTCTAAGCATTAAGGAAAATAGCAACCATAAAACCAGGCACTTTATTCTACAGAGAGATACAGAGCCAAATTGAGACCTAATCCAGAGTTAGCAATGTGTGTTATGTGAAGTTACAGATTCAAGAGATTTGGTGGTCAGGTTTCCCTTCGCAACTTTCAATTCTTCACACATCTCAGTGTTTAGCAGAATTGAAGCAACAAGGAGAGAACAGGGTTGCTAGAGGTAGACACAGTTATCGTGGTGGGTGGTGAAGCTGACAGTAAGGGAAGTCATAAGTTCAGAGATTCAAAGCAAAAGAAGAAACTAAGGCACAGGGAAGTTAAAAGACTTGTTGAGATTCACACAGGTAGCAGGTGTATAACATAGAATCTGAACCTAGGTATTCCTGGCTTTATGTCCAGTACATTAGCCTATATGCCATGCTGACAGGAGAATTATAAAAACCAGGCAGAACAGTTGTGAGATTGTTGACATTTTTGACTATTTAGTGAAATAATTTAATATTTTGGATATTCTTTCCATAAACAGATCACTGCCTGTTATCTTCATGCATTTAGTCATGTCAGTCTCTTCAAAGGTTATCTATTGTCAATCAAATAAAATTCATGCACCTTGTCCTAGCATTCAATATGAATAACTCACATGTGTTAATAATATAGCACATATAGGCTCACAACAATCCTTTGCAGTAAGGTATTTTATAGATGAAGAAACTGAAGCTGCAAGTTTAAGGGATTTGTCTATAGACACCAAGCCAAGCCCTCTACAAATTGCAACACCCTACCTTTCCATATTTACTTCTTACTGCTATATCCCATCCAGGAAAATTCCACTTTCACTGTCATTTTCCTGCCTCCTTGCTAACAGTTCTCTTTCTTCAAATGCTCACTTCATCACCTTATACTCACTCCCATGATTCCTACAGATTTTCTACCCATCCTTTAAAACTCACCTCCAATGCTGCTGTTCACAAAGAGGTTATTTTGATTCTGGATAGTTAATATTCTTTCCCAGTTTGTACCTCACATAGCAATATGACTGTACTTCTCAAGTATATATGTATTTTTTAATATTAGAGTTATCTAGGTAGACTGTATCCCCCTACTAGATTGCACACTCAGTGAGGACAAGGACTGTGTCTTATCTAAACTTTGTGGATACAGCACACAGTAGGTACTTAATATTTCTTTTTGAATTGCAACAAATAGAAGGTTATCTTCTGTGGCTGAAAAATTCATCACCCTGAAGCCACCATAATCACTTTCACCTTGGCAAGGCCTGCCAGAGATTAGGCTCCAATGTCTGACATTAGCCTCCAAGAATCCAAGGCCAAATCTACTTTAGTATGAGTTAATGGAATAGGACTTCAGTGGTATCTTCTTGTATATACTCACATCTTTGTTTTCTGTTTAACACTGGTATTCTGTTAGGAAATTTAAGCATATTCTTACCTTTACAATCAACTCTATGTTGGTCAATCAACAACAAAACATTCTTACAGTTTAAAAGAGGTAAATCATAATTCTCTGTAGCTGTATCAGAAGACTTAGTGAGGAGGACCTCAAGACCATCTGCATCCGTCTGTACTTTGTCCTATAAAATATGTAACAGCACTATAAAACAACAAAAACTAAACAGTAATAACAATGGCTAATGTTTGTGTAACACTTTAAGGTTTCTACAACAATTTACATACATCATATCACGGCATCTTCACAAACATTTTGTGAGATAAGCACTACTCATAACTATTTTAGAAATGAAGAAACAAGCTAAAAGAGATTAGGTGACTTGTCCAGGATCATACAGCTAGCTAGGAGCCCAAGGACAGATTCCAACTCAGGTCTTCTTGACTCTATCAACAATGGCACTTCACTACCTAGAAACTGAATTATTTAGGACCTTATGAAAATCATCATAAATAGTCACAACATCTCTTACAGAGGATAGTCTTCATTTTATTTATGGGGGAAAATGAGGGAAAATCCAGCAACATAATTCATTTTCTACCATTCACAATGGACATGTTTCACTAGGAGACTATTTCTAAAAGTATCCATTTACAGATTAAAGACTCTTGTAATTTATAATGCAAAAAAGAAGTCGTTATGTCCCCTGAAACATGCATTATTTTCTAAACCAACTTATACTTCTGGCATTTTTACAGTACCTTGTTCTTTTCATTCGATGTTTTCTTTGAAGCCTAAAAGACAAATAATTCTTTTCAGTGTGAATATAAACAAGCAAAATGCAAATCAAGTTTGTTATCATTGTAACTGTTTGATTTAATATATGCCTATTTGAAAATCTCATGCTTTTTTATGTTACAAGCCAATCACATAAGATATAGAATGTTTGAGTATTTAATTTTGTAGCCCTAATTTATAATATATGCTTATCTTTGCTCTTGAAAAGTTTTTAAAACAAACAAAAACTATAAGTAACATCAGAATTCCTTCCCATAAATAAAAAGTGTGAGGGATTGCTTTCAAAATAAATGTCAGCCAAACATTCTTAACTTGTGATATGATAACAATGATTTATTTTTTCACTTGTTCATATGCCAAACTCCCTGTTATTAAGATCACACAGTAACAAGAATTTCAGCAGTATAATAGCTGGTATGAACTGAGACATCAACAAATATTAAATTATGTCCATTATCTTTGAATGTATTTTAAATCTTAGAAAATATTATATACGGTAACCAACATAATTTTTAATTCAAGTTAGATGTATGTGTGTTCTATTTCCTATACTGCAAGCTCCAAGAAGTCAGAGACTGTCTAATCACCTTTCTATTCCAGGGCCTGACATAAGGCTCTTCACATTGTATGTGAGTAATGCTTTCTGAAGAAGTTTACCAGCACATTGGATGGACCTTTGTGGAAGAAATATGAACATTACTCTGACAGGATGAGGAGCCACAATCTTCCCCTCTAGAGAAAGTACTCAAGTTGATGAGACTATACATGAACCCTCTGCAGTCCTGAATATCAAACTTCAATATGATTAAGTAGTAAAACAAAATTCAGAGATAGAAATTCTATAAAAGAATGGTTGGCTTTTTACAGGGGTTTTAAAAATAGCAAAATATACTAACATCAGTGACCCAATCAGAGGATACCCAATAAACTAGAGATAGAAAAAGCAGTTAGAAGTAAGTAATTTTGGGTCTTGGGAAAGCAAATTGGTTCCGTCCCTTCCCAGGGGTTTAATCACCTCCTACATTCACATAATTATAAATTAAACACAATACATTGTGTATATTGTAATAACAGCAATCACTAGTAGAATACTCTGCACACAAGAAAAACATATTTATTGAATGGCTAATTATAGTTCACATTTCTATAGCACTTTACAAATAACTTTCCGTACAACAATCCTGTTGATAATGCAAGTATTATTATCCCCATTTTACAAATGTATGTGCCTCACTGCTAATGTTGGCAGTGTGGTGCAGTGGAAAGTGGATGGAATCTAGAGTCAGAAAACCCAGGTTGAAACACTGGTTCTGCCTCTTTTTACTTGTGTGAGGGTAGGCAAACCACTAAGCTTCTCTGAGTCCGTTTTCCTGATCTCTGAAATAAAGAGGCTGGACAAGACGATCCCTATCGTGCCTTACAATTCTAAATCTATGCTATGACAGTAATAGAGTAGAAATCTAAAACCTTATCTCCTGACTCCAAGTATGGTATCCCTTCCACTAGTGTTTAGGCGTGGTGAAAACCACATTCCTAATGACTAATGTCTGTCCTGCTGTGTTCTGTCACCACAATGAGCAAAATGGAGTGCATTATCACTGGGACTGTTTTGCTATGTTGAAGAAAACAAGAATTTCAACTGTCAAACAGGGGCAAGTAATGTGGCATGTATATCAAAGGGAGTCTGGGCGTCTAAGCTTTACCATTATAGCTACATTTTCTGGCATTTGGAATATAGTTGCTTGCAGTGAAAGTGCTCATGTGCATATGTCTCAACACTGTCAGAATAAAGAACAACAGGACATCAGTCTTCTACAACTACCAAAAGTACACATTGCTAATATTTTTCCATGAGGAAATACAGTAACATTGTGCCTTTCTTTGTCACGTTCTGCTTCGCTTAAAGGGCTGTCTTCAGGAACATGGAGTAGGATATCTGTTAAGGAATTCACTTTTTCACAAGATGAATTCATACCAGGATCCTTTGAAGTCCATTTATCGTTTTGAGGCTTTTTTACTCTTTTCTTATGCATGACCAAATCATTGCTGAAAAAACATCCATGATGGGATGCTTAAATTGTTCTTTATTGAAAACTGATAAGAAAATGACGGGGAAAATATATGGCTTCCAGATTAGCCTTCCTTAAATAAGCCTTTGAGCTCATTTCCCAGATGGCTACTCTCTTTTAATGTACATCAAATCTGAACTGCCTGGCTGTGAAGTTCCTTTATATTCAGGCCTGCCTTATTAATCCAACAGAGGTTCTGAACACTGCTTCTCAGAGTACAAGGTCCATTCTAGTCAGATTTCTGTTTTCTCTAGTCTATGAATAGGTTCTGCTCCAAAACTTCATAGAATGAGTTTTCTTCATCTAAAATGTTCCCTCATTTACTGACTACACTTGGGCTAAAAGACAACAACTGTCGACAACTGGGTAGTTGCGATTAGACAATTTATGTGCAAAATATTAGGAAGTCTGATAGAAGGTAGGCTTGATATGAGCCAACAATGCCAGAGAAAGTCCAAAAAGTTAATATGACTGCATGTTGAATTCTAAGAGGCATAGAATGCAGAAGAAGGGAGGTGACAGTTTCCTTATGCTGTTTTGATCAAAATATATTTGAGGGACTGTGCTCATTTTAGGAAGATATATTTTAGGAAAGACATTTAAAACTCTGAATATCTTCACAGAAGAGAAACCAGGATGAAGAAGAATGAAGATGTAAAATAAAGAGCAGCTGAAGACATTGCCGATGTTTATCCAAGAGAAGAGAAGATGAAGAGTTGGGAAGACAGGGAGAGGTGGAATATGTATTCATATATATGAAAGGCTCTCATGTTTAATTGTCCCCCTAAAGGGTAGGACTAGGGGCAGAAAAGCACAGTTAGGATCAATATATGAAAAACAAAAGCCAACAACTTCCAAGCAATTACTTATTTAAAGAAGAATAGACTACCTTTAGAGTTAACACATTCCTCTGTGTGTGTGTGTGCGCGCGTGTGTGTGTGTATGCGTGCACACACACAAACCATTGAGCAATTAACAATCACACATGTGAAAGACTGCTCTTTGATCCTAACTTTAATGGACCTCACAAACCTGCCTGTTGCTCTGTTGACACAGCTTTTACAGATCTTCACCTTTCCACTCTGATAAGGTATCAAAGAAAGATTTATTGGGGGGAAAAAAAAACAAACATCTGCCACAGTTTGTAATAATTCTTTTTTCTCCATTAATTTATTTAGTTTCAGTTTTCAACATTCACTTTCACAAGATTTTGAGTTCCAGATACTCTCCCCGTCTCGTCCTTCCCCAAGCCCAACAACAGTGTGCATTCTGAATACCCTTTTCCTTAATCTACCCTCCTTTCTATCTCCCTCCCTTCTCTTATCTGCTTCCTCTTCTATTTTCCTGTAGGACAAGATAGATTTCTATACCTCATTGCCTGTATATCTTATTTCCCAGTTGCATATGAAAACGATTTTTAACATTTGTTTTGAAAATTTTGAGTTCTAAATTTTCTCCCCTCCGCCTCCCCACCCTCCCTCATTGAGAAGGAAAGGAAGTTGATACTGTTTATACTTGCAGAGTCATGCAAAACGCTTCCATAGTAGTCATGCTGTGGAAAGCTAACTATATTTCCCTTCATCCTATCCTGCCCCCTCTTTATTCTATTCTCTCTTTTGACCCTGTCCCTCCTCAGAAGTATTTGTTTCTGATTAACCCCTCTCCCAATCAGCCCTCCCTTCTATCATTCCACACTCACTTATTCCAATCCCTCCTATTTTCCTGTAGGGTAAGATAGCTTTCCATGCCCAATTGAGTGTGCATGTTATTCCCTCCTTAAGCCACATCTGATGAGAATAAGATTCACTCATTCCCTCTCACCTTCCCCCACTTCCCCTCCATGTAAAAGCCTTTTCTTGTCTTTTTATGTGAGATAATTTATCCCATTTTACCTCTCCCTTTCTCCTTCTTAATACATACATACATACATACATATATATATATATATATATATATATATATATATATATATATATATATATATATATATATATATATATATATATATATATTTTTTTCCCCTCCAACTACCCAGATCCTGAATCCTACCAAATCCTACCCAAAGGTCTCATGAGTTACCAATATCATTTTTACATGTAGGATTGTAAATAGTTCAACCTCTTCATGCTTCTCTTAATTCTTGTATTTAAAAGTCAAATTTTCTATTCAGCTCTTGTCTTTTCATCAAGATTGCTTTAAAGTGCTCCAATTCACTGAATATCCATTTTTCTCCTAAAAGATTATACTCATACAACACTCATTCCTATTAAAAACACTAGAGGGCATAGGAATAAATGGAGTCTACATAAAACCTTCAGCAAGCATCATATGTAATGGGGACAAGCTAGAAGCATTTCCAATAAGAACTGGGTGAAATAAGGATGTCCATTGTCACCACTGTTGTTCAATATCATACTGGAAAGATTAGTTAGCAATAAGAGAAGAAAAAGAAATTAAAGGTATTAGAATAGGCAAAGAAGAAACAAAGCTATCCCTCTTGGCAGACAATATGATGATATACTTAGAGTGTCCTCAAGAATTAAGTAAAAAGCTACTTGAAATAATAAACAACTTTAGCAAGATTGCAGGCTATAAAGTAAATCCACATAAGTTATAGGCATTTTTATATATTGCCAACAAAGCCCAACAGAAAGAGATACAAAGAGAAATGCCGTTTAAAGTTACTGTAGACATTATACTGTTCCTGTAGTTACTGTAGCCATTATAAAATATTTAGGAGTCTATTTGCTGAAACAAATCCAGGAACTATATGAACAAAATTACAAAACACTTTCCACACAATTAAAGTCAGATCTAAATAATTGGAAAAACACCAATTGCTCACAGGTAGGCCCAGCTAATATAACAAAAATCACAATTCTACTTAATTTACTCATTCAGTGCCATACCGTTCAGAGTACCAAAAAATATTTTATCTATAGACGAGATTCACTTGGAATAACAAAAGGTCAAGAATGTCAAGGGAACTAATGGAAAGAAATGCAGGGGAAGGTGGCCTAGCTGTTCTAGATCTTAAATTGTATTATAAACCAAACCAACAATCATCAAAACTACTTGGGACTTGCTAAGTAACAGAGTGGTGGGTTAGTGGATTAGGTTAGGTATGCAAGACACAGTAGTCAATGACTATAGTAACTTATTATTCGATAAACCCAAAGACCAGCTTCTTGGATTAGAACTCACTCTTTGACAGAAACTGCTGGGAAAACTGGAAAAGAGTATGGCAGAAACTAGGCAGACACCAAAATCTCATATCATATCCCAAAATAAAGTGAAAATCAGTTCATGATGAAAATAAAAAGACTGATACTGTAAGTAAACTGGGAAAGCAAGGTATAGTTTACCTATGGGCTTTATGGAGAACAGAAGAATTCATGACCAAACAGGAGACAGAGAACATTATGAAATGCAAAATGGATAATTTTGATTACATTAAATTGAAGAGTTTTGGCACAAACAAATCCAATGCAACCAAGATTAGAAGGATAGTAGAAAATTGGGAAATAATTTTTACAACCCGTATCTCTGACAAGGGCTTCGTTTCTAAAATATATAAAGACTAAAGTCAAACTTATAAGAATACAAGTCATTCCCAAACTGATAAATGGCCAAAAGATATGAACAAGCAGTTCTCAGAGGAAGAAATTAAAACCATCTATAGTCATATGAAAAAAATGATCTAAATCACTATTGATTATAGAAATGTGAATCAGAACAACTCTGAGGCACCACATCACACCTATCAGATTGGCCAACATGACAAAACAGGAAAATGATAAATGTTGGAGAACATGTGGGAAAACTGGAACACTAATGCAATGTTGTTGGAGTTGTGAAATGATCCAACTATTTAGGAGAGCAATTTGGAACTATGCCCAAAGGGCTATAAAAATGTGCATACCCTTTGACCCAGCAATAGCATTTCTAGGGCTGTATTCCAAAGAGATCATACAAATGGGTAAAGGATCCATGTGTACAAAAATATTTATAGCAGTTCTTTTTGTGGTAGCAAAGAACTGGAAATTGAGAGTATGCCTATTGTTTGGGGAATGGCCTGAATAAGTTGTGGTATATGCGTGTAATGGAATGCTATTGTGCTATTTATAAGAATTTTATAGCAGGTGGACTTCAGAAAAACCTGGAAAGACTTGTGCGCACTGATGCTGAGTGAAGTGAGCAGAACCAGGACAATGTTGTCCCCAGTAGCAGCCACATTATGCGAGGACTAATGGTGATAAACTTAGCCCTTCTCAGGAATATAAGGATCTAATACATTTCCAAAGGTCTCATGATGGAAAATTGTATCCACATCCAAGGAAAGACTATCTTTGAACACATTCCAAAGCATACTATTTGCTATTTTGTCTTCGTTTTGTTTTGTTTTCTCCTTCTAGTGGTTGCTCCTATTGGTTTTAATTCTTCCTTACAACATCACTAATGTGAAAATATGTTTAATATGAATGTATATGTATAGCCTATATCAGATTGTGTGCCATTTTGGGGAGGGAGGTGGGGAGTGGGGGGAGAATTTAAAACTCAAACACTTATTGAAGTGATTGTTGATAAATCAAAATAAATTAATAAAAAAATTAAAGAACAACCAGGAGAATAATATCAATCATAACTGCAACAATGTAAATATTAAGGACAATAAAACAACTGGAACTGAATGTTGTGAAATTATGATGACCAAGCTTGGTCTAGATGAGAAGGAACCTCCTTCTCTTTATGCAGGGTGGAAGACTATCCATATAGAATACTGCATAATACTGATGTGGCAGTTAGTTGTGTTGAACTGTATTTTCCTTTTTGTTTTTTGTTTCTCTGGAAGGGTGAGGAAAGATGTATTGGGAAATGAGGATGATACAGAAAGAAAATATGACAATTAAAACAAAAGTGTTCTTTCTCTCAACTGCCCATGGCTTTACTGTCTCTTGCAAATGAGTTTAATATGGCCACTTTTGGCTAATCAAGGGAAAAGTAGACAACTTTCTGTCTGAGTGACTCTGAGGTCACAATATAGAGTACCAACAGTGAGGCAAAGAAAGACGCCTTTTTTCAGTGCTTGTCACATATGTTATCTTGTATAAATACTTTCTTCTTGAACTTATATAATTTTTGCTCTTGAAATTCATTATCCTACAGTATGCTTAAATTAATTGTTAACAAGTTAATGAAAGTAAATTAGGCCTTGCTTCTCTACATTCTTTACTTTCTAAATGTCAATCTAGAACATTTCCAGGTTCACACTCTTATGGAACTCTAGAGTCATCTAGTACCATCCAAACTTGCAATGTCAATCCTCTTTGCCACATTCCTGTCACGTCATCTGTCATCTTATTGTCCTATGATTTTTCTTTTTGTGGGGCAGCAGGTAGCAGTTATCTGCGTTTTGCTCTTGCTCATTCTTTCTAGTGCCCTTGTGAGCAGTATAGGCCTTATGTAGGAAGGCCTACATGAGAGCTTCTCTCTACCTTTTTGCCAAGTCTTTTTTTTTTCTTCCCCCATCCTGAAAGGACACTAAACCTTTCTCTCCTCAGTCCCATTTTTGGGGAAGAGAATCAGAATCCTTATCGACTTGAACCCTCCACTCTTTCCCTCCAACCACCCCCCACATGGTGGTAGGTAGGTGGGTGGTTCTTGAGAATCTAGGTTGTCTGACTTTTTATTTATATCCTCAGTGCTTGGCACTTAAATTCATCCATTCTTTTATTTTAATAAGGACAGTTTCATTTTTTTTTTCTACTTAATAGTAATTGATTTTTTCTAATTACATGTATAACAATCACTTCTATAAGACTGAGTTCCAAATTTTTTTGTCCCTCCCCAAGACAGCAAGCAATCTGATATAGGCTATACATGTACAATCATATTAAACATATTTCTACATTAACCATGTTATGAAAGAAAAAATTCATTCATTCTTGAAAACTTCTAATGGTGGGGAACTTTCTACATACTAAGAGAGCCCATCTCATTTTTTTGATAGCCATAAGCTATCTCATTAAGACTTTTTATACATTTGAAAACTATCTTGATTTACTCCTTACCACCCATATCTTATATTGCACGTTATTCTTTGAGATCTTATCAAAGGCTACCTACCTTCCTTCTTCAATAGATGCTGATGTGACAGTCCCACAATCAAAGAACATGCTGAAACCAAAAGAGAAATATATATTCATTGGACGTGAATTTCTTTCTTGGCAAAAAAAAAAAACAACAACCAAGAATGAAGTTGTTGCAGTGAATCTGATTCCAGATTGTTAGAGCTAAATGAACTTACCATTAATAGAAACATTTGATAATAATACTCCTATTAATATTCTGAAAAACTTACCCCTTTAAAAGATGGTGCACAGGTGTTGAACTTTCCTTGGAAGAAGAAATTCCCATTATTGGAATTTCTTCCCCAGGGATTTCATTTTCCTTATCTTTACCATGCTGATTGCTCTCCATAGGAAACAGCTCATCACCTTTGCCAACTGTTCCATTTTCAATTACACTGTCATTATCTTTTTCCTCTAATGTTTCAATTTGATTGCGTTGATGCTTTTTCTTTTCCTCTTCAATCTAAAAGGAAAGCTTAGTACTTAGTATAATTGACACTTTACGAAAAAAAATTATGCACTTACTTAGGAAAAATTCTAGACCTGTGAGTTAACTAGTCCAAGGAACTCTAACAAGAGAAAATGATAATGTACAGATGAGCCAAGACACCTGGTGATGTGATTTAATCTAACTCATCCTAAACTTTCCTTATGCATAGGATAATGGGGTGTCACTGCATAACTGACATTTCCCCTTCCAAAAAATAAAATTCAATAATTAAATGAACTGCCACTTTGATAGCATCTAATCCAGTATGTTCAAGTACATCAGAAGGAAGTGTTCTCCCATTATTTTTCCATCTTTTGCTGACATTTTATGTTATCTCTATGTGCTAAAATGATAACTATCTATAGCAAATAAACATTTAAAAACAATGAAATTCCAGAGCAGGAGCTTTGAACTTGTTGTCAGAAGACCTAGGTTTAAGTCCCAACTCTGTTATGTATTAGTTGTGGGAAAATTGAGAAATCTTGTATTAATGCCTTTTGGAAAACTGTTACTAAATAAATTAGGAAAAAATGTCTTTCCTTTCATTTTGAAATTAAAAAAAAAGTTTAATGCTTTTACTAAAATCAGTAAAGATGAACACAGCAGATCACAATAACCATATTAGTCCAATCAAGTGGATCTGTTAGAAATTTCCTAATGTTAGCCTCTATTTTCAATATTTTAAGCCATAGCATCTTACACTTGGCTAAGAAATAAAAATGTCCATAAAAGCAAAATTATTTGAAGTGTAAAATATTGCAGTGACTTGCATAAAAGAGAACCTGAGTTCATTACATTCTTTTAGGCCTGTGCCCTAATTATCTTTACCTTGTTCTTTTTGCCACAGAGTCTAATGTTGCTATGTGCATGTTTGCTTTAGAAAGTTTGTTGTTTACAAGCAAAAGATTTTGGAATCTGATGAGTAATTTAGATGATCAAAATAAGGACTAGGAAAAGGCTTTCTGAATATTTACCTTAATTCAACTTCAAATATACGTTTTACAAATAGCAAGCATTTAAACACAGATTTTTCTCATGTGAAAATCAATACACAGGAAGATTGATGAAGAAGAAAAATAAATGGAATGGAGAGTGGCAGGAGGTAAATCTAGCTTTTTTTGCAGTTGTTTTTTTTCCCTCAAAAGCGGGTTGTCTACTTCCACCATTCTTAACTCATTTTTAAATCTTCACATATCTTGATTTAATTCTTTATCCAGGTGCATTTTGATATTTTGTCACTATATGAAGGAGGTGTTTTAAGGTCTTACCTCATTTGGAGAGTTATTGTCATTGTGATCTCTTTCTGCAGAAGTTTTCTTTTCTTTTGTTTTCTCATTAATTTGAATGCAGGCTTTTCTTCTTGGATGATTGATTGCATATCATCAGAGCGAGTACACCAGACATCATGGCTTGCTACACTGCTTGATTGTAGCAAACATCTGAATCTGATTCCAAAGTTTGGTATTCCTGTTTAGATTTCCTGCCAGTTTCATACCAAATGCTTCATCTTCCTTCTTTCATTTAGCTGTTGTTGGAGTATTTATATTTCTGCATCATAAGCAACATATTCTTCATTTAAATCACAAGTACATTCAATTTCTGACTTATTACCTTTCTTATGGTGTAGGTTCCTACTTTCTGAGCTTAGATTAGAAGTGAGTGAAGAACTTCTGGAAAGTGAGCTTTAAAACAGCATCTTGCAGAGAGTAATCGTTTTGTTCAGAAAATGACTGAACTCCTACACTGAGTGGGCCTCTACTTTCTCCTCTTTTTCAGTGTCACTGAGCTATTTGTCAGATTAAGGGATGCTTCTTGTAACTGTTCTATTTCCTTCAGAGACATCTAGTAGTTCCTCATCTTGTAGTTTCTCTGTGGGCTGATCTGCAATTTTGTCCTTTCATAAATTTCTCAAATATCTGCTTAAACTCAGTTGGAACAATTTTAAAATTCCTTTTGACTTCCATTGTCTTCTCTTTCACCCACACTTTTTCACATCTTTCTGCCCATTTTGATTCTACATCTAAATGCACATTATCACTATTAGATTCCTTATTGGATTCTAGTCCTTGAGACTTTCTTTCCAGATATGAAAGTGGAAAATGAAGTGGTTTAACTTGTTTCCCAGGTGCTGTTTGTTCTGGTATGTTGACTCTTTCTGAAGTAACTTTCTCCTTAGGTAAAGAAATGTGGAAGAAGATAAATTAAAGAATAAACAAACAGTAGTTAAAATTATTCTGTAAAGCTTAGTATGTTATCTAGCCCCAAATCATTGTGTTTCAAAGACATGTTAAAAAATTATTTAAACTGGGGTTGGTGGGGGGAGGTGGGGCAGAGTCAAGATAGTGGAGCAAATGTAGTAACTTCCTTGAGCTCTCCCCCAAACCCCTCCAAATACCTATAAAAAAAACTGTCTCTAAACAAATTCTAGGGCAGCAGAAGCACAAAAAGAGAGAGTGAAAGAAATCTCCAAGCCCAAGACAACCTGGATGGTTGATTAGAAAGCTCTATCTCACCTTTGATTAGAAAGAACTATTGTGTAGGGCTTGGAGGTAAAAGTAGTTCAGCTTGGGCATGTAGGAAAAAGACCATGCCTCAGTGAACCTGGAGCAGTCCTCAGGGCCTGCTAAATCCATCTAAATCCAGTCAATGTTCAAGTACATCAGAAGGAAGTGTTCTCCCATTATTTTTCCATCTTTTGCTGACATTTTATGTTATCTCTATGTGCTAAAATGATAACTATCTATAGCAAATAAACATGTTGTAAAACAATGAAATTCCAGAGCAGGAGCTTTGAACTTGTTGTCAGAAGACCTAGGTTTAAGTCCCAACTCTGTTATGTATGAGTTGTGGAAAAATTGAGAAATCTTGTATTAATGCCTTTTGGAAAACTATTACTAAATAAATTAGGAAAAAATGTCTTTCCTTTCGTTTTGAAATTTAAAAAAACGAAGTTTAATGCTTTTACTAAAATCAGTAAAGATGAACACAGCAGATCACAATAACCATATTAGTCCAATCAAGTGGATCTGTTAGAAATTTCCTAACGTTAGCCTCTATTTTCAATATTTTAAGCCATAGCATCTTACACTTGGCTAAGCAAATAAAAATGTCCATAAAAAACAAAATTATTTGAAGTGCAAAATATTGCAGTGACTTGCATAAAAGAGAACCTGAGTTCATCACATTCTTTTTAGGCCTGTGCCCTAATTATCTTTAGACCTTGTTCTTTTTGCCACAGAGCCTAATGTTGCTATGTGCATGTTTGCTTTAGAAAGTTTGTTGTTTACAAGCAAAAGATTTTGGAATCTGATGCAGTAATTTAGATGATCAAAATAAGGACTAGGAAAAGGCTTTCTGAATATTTACCGTAATTCAACTTCAAATATACGTTTTACAAATAGCAAGCATTTAAACGCAGATTTTTCCTCATGTGAAAATCCATGACACAGGAAGATTGATGAAGAAGAAAAATAAATGGCATGGAGAGTGGCAGGAGGTAAATCTACCTTTTTATGCAGTTGTCTTTTTTTCCCCTCAAAAGCCGGGTTGCCTACTTCCACCATTCTTAACTCATTTTTAAATCTTCACATATCTTGATTTAATTCTTTATCCAGGTGCATTTTTGATATTTTGTCACTATATGAAAGGAGGTGTTTTTAAGGTCTTACCTCATTTGGAGAGTTATTGTCATTGTGATCTCTTTTCTGCAAGAAGTTTTCTTTTACTTTTGTTTTCTCATTAAATTTGAATGCAGGCTTTTCTTCTTGGATGATTGATCGCATATCATCAGAGCTAGTACACCAGACATCACAATGGCTTGCTACACTGCTTGATTGTAGCAAACGTTCTGAATCTGATTCCAAAGTTGTGGTATTCCTGTTTAGATTTCCTGCCAGTTTCCTACCAAATGCTTCATCTTCCTTCCTTTCATTTACAGCTGTCTGTGTGCCGGCTAGTATTATATTTTCTGCATCATACGCAACATATTCTTCATTTAAATCACAAGTACATTCAATTTCTGACTTATCACCTTTCTTATGGTGTAGGTTCCTACTTTCTGAGCTTAGATTAGAAGGTGACTGAAGAACCTGTTCTGGGAAAGTGAGCTTTAAAACAGCATCTTGCAGAGAGTAATCGTTTTGTTCAGAAAATGACTGAACTCCTACACTGAGTGGGCCTCTACCTTTCTCCTCTTTTTCAGTGTCACTTGAGCTATTTGTCAGATTAAGGGATGCTTCTTGTAACTGTTCTATTTCCTCTTCAGAGACATCTAGTAGTTCCTCATCTTGTAGTTTCTCTGTGGGCTGATCTGCAATTTTGTCCTTGTCATAAATTTCTCCAAATATCTGCTTAAACTCAGTTGGAACAGTTTTAAAATTCCTTTTGACTTCCATTGTCTTCTCTTTCACCCGCACTTTTTCACATCTTTCTGCCCGTTTTGATTCTACATCTAAATGCACACTGTCACTATTAGATTCCTTATTGGATTCTAGTCCTTGAGACTTTCTTTCCAGATATGAAAGTGGAAAATGAAGTGGTTTAACTTGTTTCCCAGGTGCTGTTTGTTCTGGTATGTTGACTCTTTCTGAAGTAACTTTCTCCTTAGGTAAAGAAATGTGGAAGAAGATAAATTAAAGAATAAACAAACAGTAGTTAAAATTATTCTGTAAAGCTTAGTATGTTATCTAGCCCCAAATCATTGTGTTTCAAAGACATGTTAAAAAATTATTTAAACTGGGGTTGGTGGGGGGAGGTGGCGCAGAGTCAAGATAGTGGAGCAAATGTAGTAACTTCCTTGAGCTCTCCCCCAAACCCCTCCAAATACCTATAAAAAAAACTGTCTCTAAACAAATTCTAGGGCAGCAGAAGGCACAAAAAGAGAGAGTGAAAGAAATCTCCAAGCCCAAGACAACCTGGATGGTTGATTAGAAAGCTCTATCTCACCTTTGATTAGAAAGAACTATTGTGTAGGGCTTGGAGGTAAAAGTTATCAGCTTGGGCATGTAGGAAAAAGACCATGCCTCAGTGAACCTGGAGCAGTCCTCAGGGCCTGCTAAATCCATCTAAATCCAGTCAATGTTCAAGTATATCAGAAGTCAGTGTTTTCCCATTATTTTTCCATCTTTTGCTGACATTTTATGTTATCTCTATGTGCTAAAATGATAACTATCTATAGCAAATAAACACCTTTTAAAAACAATGAAATTCCAGAGCAGGAGCTTTGAACTTGTTGTCAGAAGACCTAGGTTTAAGTCCCAACTCTGTTATGTATTAGTTGTGGGAAAATTGAGAAATCTTGTATTAATGCCTTTTGGAAAACTGTTACTAAATAAATTAGGAAAAAATGTGTTTCCTTTCATTTTGAAATAAAAAAAAAAGTTTAATGCTTTTACTAAAATCAGTAAAGATGAACACAGCAGATCACAATAACCATATTAGTCCAATCAAGTGGATCTGTTAGAAATTTCCTAATGTTAGCCTGTATTTTCAATATTTTAAGCCATAGCATCTTACACTTGGCTAAGAAAATAAAAATGTCCATAGAAAGCAAAATTATTTGAAGTGTAAAATATTGCAGTGACTTGCATAAAAGAGAACCTGAGTTCATTACATTCCTTTTAGGCCTGTGCCCTAATTATCTTTAGGCCTTGTTCTTTTTGCCACAGAGTCTAATGTTGCTATGTGCATGTTTGCTTTAGAAAGTTTGTTGTTTACAAGCAAAAGATTTTGGAATCTGATGGAGTAATTTAGATGATCAAAATAAGGACTATGAAAAGGCTTTCTGAATATTTACCTTAATTCAACTTTAAATATACCTTTACAAATAGCAAGCATTTAAACACAGATTTTTCATCATGTGAAAATCAATTACACAGGAAGATTGATGAAGAAGAAAAATAAATGGAATGGAGAGTGGCAGGAGGTAAATCTAGCTTTTTTTGTAGTTGTGTTTTTTTACCCTCAAAAGCTGGGTTGTCTACTTCCACCATTCCTAACTCATTTTTAAATCTTCACATATCTTGATTTAATTCTTTATTCAGGTGCATTTTGATATTTTGTCACTATATGGAAGGAGGTATTTATAAGGTCTTACCTCATTTGGAGAGTTATTGTCATTGTGATCTCTTTCATGGAATAAGTTTTCTTTTCTTTTGTTTTCTCATTAAGTTTGGTTGCAGTGGTGAGTGTAGGCTTTTTTTCTTGGATGGCATATATTGGATTGCATATCATCAGAGCGAGTACACCAGACATCAAAATGGCTTGCTAGACTACTTGATTGTAGCAAACATCCTGAATCTGATTCCAAAGTTTTGGTATTCCTGTTTAGATTTCCTGCCAGTTTCATACCAAATGCTTCATCTTCCTTCATTTCATTTATAGCTATTTGTGAGTTGGATATTTTTATAATTTCTGCATCATAAGCAACATATTCTTCATTTAAATTGCAAGTACATTCAATTTCTGACTTATTACCTTTCTTATGGTATAGGTTACTACTTTCTGAGCTTAGATTAGAAGATGAGTGAAGAACATTTTCTTGGAAAGTGAGCTTTAAATTGTTTAAAACAGCATCTTGCAGAGAGTAATCGTTTTGTTCAGAAAATGACTGAACTCCTACATTGAGTGGGCCTCTACATTTCTCCTCTTTTTCAGTATCACCTGAGCTATTTGTCAGATTAAGGGATGCTTCTTGTAACTGTTCTATTTCCTTTTCAGAGACATCTAGTAGTTCCTCATCTTGTAGTTTCTCTGTAGGCTGATCTGCAATTTTGTCCTTTTCATAAATTTCTTCAAATATCTGCTTAAACTCAGTTGGAACAATTTTAAAATTCCTTTTGACTTCCATTGTCTTCTGTTTAACCCACAGTTTTTCACATCTTTCTGCCCATTTTCTACATCTAAATGCACATTATCACTATTAGATTCCTTATTGGATTCTCGTCCTTGAGACTTTTTTCCTAGATATGAAAGTGGAAAATGAAGTGGTTTAACTTGTTTCCCAGGTGCTGTTTGTTCTGGTATGTTGACTTTCTGAAGTAACTTTCTCCTTAGTAAAGAAATATGGAAGAAGATAAATTAAAGAATAAACAAACAGTAGTTAAAATTATTCTGTAAAGCTTAGTATGTTATCTAGCCCCAAATCATTGTGTTTCAAAGACATGTTAAAAATTATTTAAACTGGGGTGGTGGGGGGAGGTGGGGCAGAGCCAAGATAGTGGAGCAAATGTAGTAACTTCCTTGAGCTCTCCCCCAAACCCCTCCAAATACCTATAAAAAAACTGGCTCTAAACAAATTCTAGGGCAGCAGAACCCACAAAAAGAGAGAGTGAAAGAAATCTCCAGCCCAAGACAACCTGGATGGTTAATTAGAAAGCTCTATCTCACCTTTGATTAGAAAGAACTATTGTGTAGGGCTTGGAGAGAAAAGTAGTTCAGCTTGGGTATGTAGGGAAAGACCATGCCTCAGTGAACCTAAAGCAGGCCTCAGGGGACTGAATCATGGATAGCTGTGGGGGTTTTCTGACTCCTCAAACCCACAAACTCCAAAGACAACTTTAAAAGTCACTACAAAAATTCTGTGACATCGTGAGAGAGAAGCTAGGTCCCAGACCCAGGGTGGCAGCTGCTTCTGGAGATTCTAGCCCACAAATTGAGGGGGAATCCAGTGGCTGATCAGAAGAGGATTTCAGGGAACTCAATGCTGATGGTAAGGGAGGATTCTTTTTCTTTGCCTGTGCTTAGATCTGAATCACAATTCTGGGTGACAGTCCTAGGCAAGGAGGAATGCTGGAGTTGTGGAGCTTGTAGTAATGGTGCAGAGGGAATACTCCTGAGAGTTCCAAGGTAAAAAAAGTGCTTGTTGTCACTCATAGAAAAGAGCACAGCCCATGAAAGTAGTAAACAGCCTACCCTTGTTCATACCACCTTGGAAGAACTGAAAGTTTATATGTCCCTAGAAGTATCTTTAAAAATTGCTGCACAAAACCCCGAAGTTTGGGACCATACATTCTCCATTCTAGATGCAGACCCCCTACCTTAACTAAGAGTTTAAAACTCAAGTAATTGGCTGGGATTATAAGCAAAGAGACAAAAAAAAAAAAGGCAGACAGCAGAATTTTTCTTTGGTGCCAGAGAAGATCAAAACATACAACCAGAAGAAGACAACAAAGTCAATGTTCATACTTTCACAGCAGCCAAGAAAAATAGGAATCAGTCCCAGGCCATGGATTTCAAGAAGCAAGTAAGAGAGTTAGAGGAAAAACTGGGAAGACAAATGAAAGTGATGGAAGAAAATCATAAAAAACTAGTCAACAGATTGCTGAAGTAGACACAAAAAATAATGAAGAAAATAACACCTTAAAAAATAGGCAAACCGAAATGGCAAAAGAGGTCCAAAAAGCCAATGAGAAAAAGAATGCCTTCAAAAGCAAAATTGGTCAAATGGAAACTGAAGTCCTAAAGCTCACTGAAGAAAATACTTCCTCAAAAATTAGAATGCAGCAACCGGAAAGTAGTGACTTTATGAGAAATCAAGACACTGTAAAACAAAACCAAAATAATGAAAAAACAGAAGACAATGTGAAATATATCATTGGAAAAACAACTGACCTGGAAAATAGATCCAGGAAAGATAATTTAAAAATTATTAGACTATGTGAAAGCCACAATCAAAAAAAAGAGCCTAGACACCATCTTTCAAGAAATTATCAAGGAAAACTGACTTATATTCTAGAATCAGAGGGTAAAACAGAAATGAAAAGACTCCATCGATGACATCCTAAAAGAGATCCTGAAAGGTAAATTTCTAGGAATATTGTAGCCAAATTCCAGAGTTCCCAGGTCAAGGAAAAAATATCGTAAGCAACCAGAAAGAAACAATTCAAGTAGTGTGGAAACACAATCATGATAGCACAAGTTTTAGCAGCTTCTACATAAAGGTACCACAGGGCATGGAATAGGCTTTTCCAGAGGGCAAATGAGGTAGGATTACAACCAAGAATCCTCTACCCAGCAAAATGAGTATAATCCTTCAAGGGAAAAATGGATATTTAGTGAAATAGAAGACTGTCAAGCATTCTTGATGAAAAGACCAGAGCTGAATAGAAGAATTCGCTTTCAAATACAAGACTCAAGAGAAGCATGAAGAGGTAAGCAGGAAAGAGAAATCATAAGGGACTTATCAAGGTTGAACTGTTTACATTCCTACATGGAAAGATGATATTTGTAACTCATGAGACCTTTGTCAGTCTTAGGGTAGTTGGAGGGGGAAAAATATATGTATAGACAGATTGACAGATAGAGGGCACAGGGTGAGTTGAAGATGAATGGGTGATATCTGGAGAATAAAATTAAGGGGTGAGAGAGGATTATACTGGGAGAAGAAGAAAGGAGGAGGTAGAATAGGGTAAATTATCTCACATAAAACAGACAAGAAAAGGCTTCTACAGTGGGGGGGAAAGGGGGAAGGTGAGAGGGAATGAGTGAATCTTATTCTCATCGTATTTGGTCAAGGAGAGAATAATATACACACTGAATTGGGTATGGAAAATCATCTTATTCTACAGGAAAAGATGGGGGAAGAGGAAGAGAGCAGGGGATGATAGAGGGGAGGGCATACTGGGGGAAGGGGTAATCAGAAGGAAACACTTCTGAGAAAGGACAGGGTCAAAAGAGAGTATAGAATAAGGGAGGGTGGTATAGGATGAAAGGAAATATTTAGTTTTCCACAGCATGACTACTGTAGAAGTGTTTTGCATGACTACACAAGTATAACCAGTATTGGGTTGCTTCTCTTCTCAAGGGAGGATTGGAGAAAATTTGGAACCCAAAGTTTTAAAAACAAATGTTAAAAAAAAATTGTTTTCACATGTAAGTGGAAAATAAGATATACAGGTAATGTAGTATAGAAATCTATCTTGCCCTACAGGAAAATAGAAGAGAAAGGGGGGTGGAGGTAGAAGGGAGGGCAGATTAGGGGAAAGGGTATTCAGAATGCATGCTGTCTTGGCTCTGGGGGATGGACAAGATGGGGAGAAAATTCAGAACTCAAAATCTTGTGGAAGTGAATGTTGAAAACCAAAAATACAAAAATTAATGAATCTTGAAAAAATATTTAAACTTTCCCTAAATAATAGAACAAACAAAATTTCAATGTAAGTTTTATCCAGGGTATTCTGGATTAGGGTAAATGTATTATTAAGCATGTGCCATAGTATATTCCTAAAAAACCAAAGAGGAACAATTTCCTTTTTATATCTCTTTTTTTGGTGGTCTCACAGTACCATACTTTTCCAATTTGTTTAAAAATAGCAGTAAATTAGAATGGTCAATATTTTAATAAACATGCATTCTGCCTAATGGAAAAACCAAGCAAATAAAATATAAACTTGGGATGGGATAGAAATCTCAACTCAATATTCCTTTGAAGTAGTGAGAGTCTTTATTATATTTATGTATTTGCCTATTTCTGACTTTTAAATATCTTAAAATTGAACACTAATTATAAGTGCAAAAACTGTAACTCTACGTTATGTCATGTCTTTGTGAAACTAGAATGTGATATGAAATAACTGTATTGTCGTGAGATATACCTGTATCGATTGTCCACTTCTGTGTTTGGTTCCAGTAAAAACCACCTCTCTAATTATTTTACTAATTAGAGCATAGGAATTGACAAGAGAAGAGAAATGATTTTTGCATGTAATTCAGAACAAGAAATAAGAAATGATTACAATACACAACTTAGATCCATCAACAGAATTAATGGGGTTTATGAGGTAGGAAGTGACTGCTTCAAAACAGCCAAGTAACATATGATTCCCTGACCCCAACAGAGGTAAGAATCATGGATCCAACTCTAAAGGCAAAGTTCTCCAAATGTTCAGATGCATGGAGATTGCAGTCCCATAATTAGTTTGCATGAGATAAACCACAGTACTGATAGTCTGCACATAGATATTTTTGAATAAATTATATAAAAATGTTTACATGACAGAATCACATTCTATCATGTGCACATGACCACAATCAACTTTTATTCTTGTTTAGTCATAGCCAACTCTTTGTGACCCCATTTGAGGTTTTCTTGGCAAAGATACTAGAGTGTTTTGCCATTTCCTTCTCCAGCTCATTTTACAGATGAGAAAACTGAAGCAAACAGGGTTAAGTGAGTTGATCAGGGTCATAGAACTAGTAATTGTCTGAAGCCAGATTTCAAGTCAAGAAGATAAATCTTTCTGACTCCAGGCCTGGCACTCCATCTACTGTGTCATGTCCATATCAAAATAAACTACTTCAAATGACCTATAATATCATTTCCCAAAAACTGGACATTTTAAAAGTCATAGTTTAAGAGAGATGGCAACATTTTATTTGACTGATTTTCACTATATTCCAAATTCATAGGTACACCAAATCTCTAAGTTGGAAGGAAACTGATTGATTACATTTGGACAGAAATTTCAACCAAAATATCCCTAATAAATCGACACTCTGCTTCCAGCTGAAGACGTGTCACCTTCTTAAGCAGTTGTGTTAATTTTTGCTCTATTAATTAATGGTAGAGAAGCCATTATTTTCTTTAATGAACATAGATGAAGTGATAGAATCTTTTCATGTAACAGTAAGGGCTCAAAAGGTTATCACAGCCCTAGATCATAGCCACTTTCTATTGCATATAAGAGCAACTCCTTGAGCTGTAATCTATGCGTTCTAAGAAAATATTCAATTAACTTACTTGTTGATGAGTGTGGTGCTATTTGGGAAATACTTAGATTAAAGTTCCATAATATATTAATGAGGATAAACTATACACTAACACAGTTCTGATTATGAGGAAATAACATTGGAATGGTAATTTCAATAGTTATTTATAGGGCAGTGATATAGTGAATAAAGCTGTGTAGTCTAGGCAATGTATAGGATTGAAAGCCCTGGTTGTGAACTGGAACCTGATATCAGAAAAATTCTGTGGGAGGGAAAGGCTGTATGACCTGCTTCATCTTTCACCCCCCTCTTGCCTACTGCTTCTGCAGGATGTAACTAAGTGAAATATGATAGCAAGACTCTAAGATCAGATTCTCTCTTGTATAGAACATCTGAAACATGGGGTTTGGAACTCCTCTAATTTCTGTTAAGGAAGACACTGCCAGGAGGCTCTAGAGTATGGGGCATCTCAACACCATTCTCATTGAGTTCAAATTAAATAATTAGGATTATCATCTCAAGGTACTGAAACTAATTTGCATATAGGGCTAAAGAATCTTTGTCTTAAACTTATGAATAGTTACAGTCTACCAAGGAGTTGCCATGGGACTAGAAAAAAGTGAATATCCTTGATTGCTGGTAAATTCTAGTCTAACTTATCAAATTAATAGTTTGTACATACTTTCCAAAAAAGAGTTCTAAGAAGGGATAATTAAGAATTGATATCAGTTCATTAAAAACAAGTTATGCTAGACACGTTATGTGTTTCCTTTTTTTTTTAATTGTCAGTAGACTAGAGAATAAAAGACTAGATTCAAGGAATGTCAAAGACACAGTATGTCTGGATTTCAACAAGTATTTGAAACAGTTTCTCACAAAATCTTTGTGGACTAGGTGAAAAATGTGGATGTATTGAAGGTTTGGAGCAGCTTCATTGGAAACACCCAATGAACACTAATTTATTCTGGAGGGCAGTTGGTCGCTTTATCCTCACTCTTATTCTGTTCACCATTTTAAACTGATAATCAGGAGGAATCGATATATTGAATGCTGACGATCAGATTTGTATATGTCATGGAACTGGGAGAGGCTGCTGATGAAATAAGTCACAGAACTGAGATTCCAAAGGCTTTTGCTAGATTGGAACAATGAGCTAGTGCTAAGAATATACAGTTTAAACAGGATAAATGTAAAACCTGGACTTGGACTAAAACAAAACAAAACAAAACAAAATAAAACAAAACAACTATGTATGTACACAATGGGAGAAACAGTTTTTCATAGGAGTTCCTGAGAGAAAGTATTTGTTACTGAGCCATAAATTTAATACTGAAGTGTCTATCAAAAGGACGAATGTGATCTTTGCAGCAAAAGTAGTACAGTATCCTTAGTGAGAGACATGACAATCCACTACTTTGTCCTGATCAGAACACATCTGTATTACTGTTCTTAGATAGGACCCTAGAAAACTACAGGGTCTTCAGAGGAACTTAAAGAGAGCTCAGAATTCAACCATGATTCATATCACAGGAGGGTCTGGGTAGGCAATTGGAGGTGTCTAGTCTGTAGAAAAGAAGATTTAAAGGATGTTGGCATAATAGTCATCAAATATTTAGAGAATTAGAATGCAGAAGGGATTGAGTTGTTCAACTTGACTCTTCAGTTAAGTGAGAACCAGGAGCCCTGGGTGCACATCACAGGAAGGTTGATTATAGCTCAGCCTAAGGAAAACATCTTCAAAGTTTAGAGCTGTTCAAATAAGCAATGAGCTGCTTCCTCTGGGAAATAAGTTTTTAGACAGAAAAGGTCTTCAACTACTTTTGGGATAGGATTGGCTATTTAGGTTAAGGATAGATTAGATTAGCGTTGATCATGAATGCTAAGATTTTGTTTTTTTTTTTAACTTGACATAAATAAAGTATCTTTAATTCCTACTTTTCTCTTTCATATTATTTTATGTTGCTCATTATTAAGAATGTAAAATATCTCACAATTCAGTAGTGACAAAATACCATAGTATTCTTAGTAATGTTTTCAATATTGCCATGTTTTTATTATAAAAGCTTATAAATTATTATTATTTATTGTTGCTATTATTTTGCTTACCAAATAAGATTTTATTATGGCATTTTTAATGACATACTCTAGCATTGTAAAACACTGATAGATTTTAGTGTAGCCATCTAAAATGATATACATTCCCAGATATTGACATTCCAGGTTATTTTCTTGCCATTGATGACTAATAATTTTAGCCTGACAATAAGAAAGAAATCAGGACTAAGATATTCTTTAACATGCATTCATGGTAATTCTGTTATTGCAATTACTTGGCTTATTAAAGGCAAAACAATTATATGATTAGGTAGGCTAACTTAACTTCCTTATATGTAAGAAATTTATAAAAAATGCCAGGATTAATCCACATTCAGGGACTCTTTCTCTATTCTATTATTATACAACTAGGGATGAAGTTTTCCAGTTGCTTCCTGCACCTCCAAAGAAAATTTCAACTCCTGAAATCAGACAAAAATCCATTTAAAAGTAACTAAGATGTGAAAAACTTCCAATAAAATTTGCATGAAAGGAACTTTTACTGAAGTAAAATCTCAGAAATTTGAATATCATTTTTACATACCTGTTCTGAGTCACTTTTATCAAAGCTTTCTTCACTTTCCTGTGATGATTCTTGAAATTCCAATACTGGTGTAAAATCTGTATTAATATTTAAGTAAATAATTATTTTATTTAGAGTTACTTCTCTTATATGAATTAAATCCCCCCATTAGCGGTAATGGCAGTTATCACAGCTATAATTTATCTATTGTGATCTATTTTAAAAGAAGATAAAGAAGGTAAGAAATTTCTATTTTCCTAATTATGCATTTAGTTGATTATTTTGTAATCTCAATTTACTTCCACATTTTAAGTTTCTTGTGAGATACTCATTTTATACCAAATCACAGATTGATTTACATATTTACTCTAGCTGAAACTGTTATCTTTGAAAATGAAAGGTAAACTGAGAGGAAATGGTCTCTGCAAGATCAATTTATTAGTTAGGTTAGTAGTAACCCATAAACTGGGTTAATGGCTTTTCTCAATGACCAAAGACCATGAGATAGGGATTACTAGCCTTCATAGAATTTGGGGAAGTACGAGAACAAAGAACAGAGTTGGATTGGTGGGGAAAACAATGAGATAGTTTATAGAATAGACAACATCATGGACTTTTCATGAGGTGCTATTTTGGGGGTTTTAGAGGTCAATAGGGGAGAATGAGAGTAATTTACTGCTTACTTCACTATCTTGGTTCCTAAAAGTCTGGAATGATTGTTTAATTCTATTATTAGAAGCTCCAAAATTAAGATAATTGTGTCCTATCCAGGCTAATTTTCTATGTTGGTTTTGTTTTAATAGATTTATTTGACCTGTGGCATGTACATTTATTTCTTCCTAATCTTTAACAGTTCTGTTAATCATTTCACCTCTATGAATTTCTCTCCATGTTGTCATGCTCTATCTAGCTCTGAGGTAACTAAAAGTTTTACAGTGAATTTGAAATTAACAGGCAGAGTATTACCTGCATATCTTGTTTTCATGTTTTCTTGGCTCAATCAGAACAGTTTATAGAGTTACTTAATGATACAGATCTCATTTACTTTTATTTCCCTAAGCAACACGGCACCAAGAAAGAAGGATTTTTTTTCCCTACTTCTTTGAGACAGTCCTGGCCAGTGGTTTCAGTGGAAGAGCTAAGATAGTGGAAAGACAGGGAGAAGCAGTCTCTCAGCTGGGAAATTGGGATTGCCAAGAAAGGTTCATTTCACTTGGATAAAAAGGGGATTGCAGTCCACGATGAGAGGCATCCCAACAAGCCAGCAGCAAGCCCCACCTCAGCAAACCAGCAGGAGATGCTGAGCCCCAGAATGGTTGAGCAGGCAAATGTGAACACCAGGATTCCCCATGTATCTTAGGATAGCCAGGGCAACCAGCAGACTTCAGCTTGGAGAACCACCACATATGCTGATGCAGCTCCAAGCAGGCAGGCAACCACCAGTGGCTGGACCTCCACTTGATTCAGTGTAGCCCAGGGAAAAGGCAGAAAAACTGCACCTAGCCTTAGTATATGTCAGACACCACCACTAGGACCCCAGCAGAGCGACTGGTAAGCAGCCAGACCCCAAATCCCCCACGTGCCAGCACCTAAGGCCCCAGTACAGAAAGCTAGTGACAAGGCACCTTGCTCCCAGCACAAGAAGCTTGGGACAGTGCTCCCTGTGCTCCAATAGGAAAGTTCAACTTTAAAAGCCAGGAAACTGGCAAACAAAACCAAGCAAAAGGCAGAAAAGAACGCTGACCTTAGAGAATTATTATGGTGACAGGGAAGATCAAAAAACAAATTCAGAAGAGGACAGCACAGTCAATATACCTACATTTGAAACCTCAATGGGAAATATGAATTGGTTCCAAGCCCAAAAAGCCTTCTTGGAAGAGCTCAAGAAAGATTTTCAAAGGCAAATAAGAGAGGTAGAAGAAAAACTGGGAAAAGAAATGAGAGGCATTCAAGAGAGAGTCAATAGCTAGGAAGGACAAAAATTGACTGAAGAAAATAACTCCGTAAAAAATGCAATTGACTTTGAACTTCCTCTGGCCCCCTCCAGGCTAGATCTTGGGCACTAAAGTCATGGACGTGAAGAACTCTAGCATGGTTACTCCCAAAAGAACTTTCTTCTCCGTCTACACAAGAGAAATTAAGGACAATGCTGTAGATTGGCACAATTTATTATCAATATGAGAGACTCAACAATATGGTGTTTTCTATTGCAAACAAACAGGAAACATCCAAATCAGTGTACTTGCTGAAGACAAGGTACAACTAGAATGCAACAGCATATCTTCTGGCTTTCATTCTCAAAAGGTAGGTCAAAAATATAATGAGGAACTTGAGATATTGTGCAAGGAACTTCATGACAGTTTGGAAAACTCGGCTAAGGTACAGGTGAAAATGGAAAAGCTAACATCAACCACTAAAGGAACTTGTAACCTAGAAAATTACCATTATGGAAGTGGAAATTAGCAAACACCCCTTTTCCATACATGTCCCACTACCTACTTCTATGAATTTTCCCATAAGCTTTCAGAAATGTACAAGAAAAAAATACACCTGAAATGCATCATTGTAGAACAGCTTGCCCATACTACAGACCAGGATCTCATTTTAAGCTACTTATCTATGTGGTTGTACCAGCCCTATATTGAGAACAGCAGGCTATATGTGGAAAGCATCTTACTTGAAACTGGACATCGAGCATTATAATTTTTTCCAAAATCATTTCAGTAAACCCATACTCCCAGAACCACAATGAACCCTTCTTTCCAGGTCTTATGATACAGGCCCATTGCTGCCCCATACACTTACTTCCAGGATCACAGTTCTACTTCTTTTCTTGTTTGCACAATGAGATGCTTCACCTCCACCTGAACACCACTCTGGTAGTAACTTTTAAAGTTGATGATAGTCATCCATTCAGTACCTACTTTTCAAACCCTGACCCTCTTTATTTGACAAAAACTTCTGTGCAAACTGATCATATGTTTGACAGAAAATGTTTAGATCAGCATTTATTTCCACAATAAGTTCCAAATGGATTCTCAGCCTACTGTTTGGGAAAAAAACAAACTAACACGCACACACACAGTGGGATGAAATCAGGAGAATGAAAGGAGCTTTCACAATTATAAGAAGCAGAATTGCAAACCAAAGGATAGAGGCATAAAATTAAAATGCATATGTACAAACAAAACCAAGAGAAACTAGATTTGAGAAAATAGTTTAATCAAATAGTGGAATAAAATCTACTATAGAAACTGATACAAAAATATGAGACTAAGAATCATTTCCTAGCTAAGTTTCAAAATAGAGGAACAAATGACTTTCAGAAGTAAGAAATGCAATTAACAAACAAAATATTACAGGAAGTCACTAAGGAAATGAACATTTAACAATACTGGATTCACCTCAAATTAAATTTACAAACATAAAAAAAAATAGATGCTGTTTAAGAAAGGAGTTCTTAATAAATACTGGTGGTAGATCTTTTCACTTGTCCAACCATTACAACAATCTGGAACTTTTAAAGAAAAGTCACTAAACTATTTGAACCCTTTGACTCATCACAAGGCATATAACAAAATGAGGTCAACGAGGGATTGAGGCGAGGGAAAGCCCCACGTGGGCACTTTTTGGGGAAGAAACAGAAAAGAGGGAAGATTTGTATGAACTTATGTAGAAAAAAAGCAGAATCAAGAACATATTTCAGAAAGAAAAATACTAAAAACATTCAGGTTAAGGTAAATAATTAATATTAATCAGAATACTGATGAAACATGTTTTTTCACAGGTTGATGGGTTTTGGGTATGGAAGGATGTCAGTTTCATTTGCTTAACTGTTTTTCTTAGAAAGGGGAGTGGGGGCAGAGATAAATATATAAATACTCTACTTTAGAAAAAGCAAGAAATTAAAAAAAAACCATCCTTTTTTCAGATATTTGTAATTGTTCATTATCCAGCTCTATTTTCAAGCCCTCAAGAGGTAGCATAGTCAATAATTTGCTGGATTTCAGAGTCAGAAAGTCTCTGATTTCAGATGCTGCTTTTTATACTTACTAGCTGTGTGGCCACAGGCATGACACTTAATACATCATCAAAGGGAAGATAACACCTATGATACCAACCTCATGGAATTATTTTAACATGCAAGCAAGTTAAAGTATATTAAAGCACTACAAATTAAAAAAATACAAGTGGTTGAATGGAAATGGGGTACAAAATGCATTGAAGAGAAGACCTTGTTAAAAGTCTGATAGCCTTTGTGTTAGTCAATATCTTTCTAGAACTTACATAACCTCAGATGCTGTTGAATTCCTTTGCCTTATGAATAATCTCTTTGACAGTCTTTGCTGGTGATCATCCACTCTTGAGTTCACTAGGAAGTGGTCACAACAGATCATACCTAACTATCTTCACATATTGATTGACCAGGGGATTATTATCAATATACTTTATCCAAATTTCAGTAGAGCATTTGAAAAATTCCCTCATGATCTTTGTGGACAAAATTAAGATCAGATCATTAAAAAATTAAGATTTATCTCAGGGATGAAAAAAGGATGCCCATTATCACCACTATTATTCAGTAGTGGACTACAAATATTAGCTTTAACAGTAAGAGAAGAGAAAGAGTTTGAAAAATTAGAATAGGCAATGAGGAAATAAAACTATCATTCTTTGAAGACGATATAATGGTATACTTAGAGAACCCTAGGAAATCAACTGAAAAGCTACCTGAAACAACAACATTAACAATGTTGTAGTCTATAAAATAAATCCACATAAATCCCAGCATTTCTAAATATTACCAACAAAGTTCAACAGCAAAGGGTAGAAAGAGAAATTCAATTCAGAAAAATAGTAAACAATACAATAAAATCAGGTGAAGTGAGTAGACACAAGAGAATGTCGCACACAGTAACAGCCACCTTGTGCAATGACTAACGTTGATAGACTTAGCCCTTCTCAACAATAAAGGATCTAAGACATCTTCAGAGGTCTCATGATGGAAAATGCTATCCATATCCAAAGAAATCACTATGGAGTCTGAATGCAAATCGAGGCATACGATTTGTTATTTTTTTCTTATGTATTCTTTTGG